GCATGGCTGCACCTTCGCGAGCTTCGCCAGGGCGCGATTCGACAGGTCGGGCTGCGAGTCCTGCATCTTCAACCAGTGGAGCTTCTCCTTCGCGGTGATTCCCTTGCGCTGTCGTTTCGTCATGCGATGGCGAGGGGATGGCGGGTCAGCATCGGCGTTGCGCTTCTGCTGTCCCTGCGGGCGGTTCCGCTCCGGGAACGTGGGGACAACCACTCGAGGAAGGGTAGGGCGAGGACGGTCCAAGCTACTGCTCGGTTCATCCCTGGTAGAAGCACTACCGGGAGCATCTGGCTGAGGAAAGATAGGGCGAGGAGACGTCCGTGCGCGTGCAGAAGCGCTAGTCTGATTGGTGGAAACAGGCCGCTGCCGCCTATCTACCGTACTGCTAGAATCTGGAGATGAAGCCATGCTTGGGAACTAAGGCAGGTCGATGTCACTCGCCATGGGAGAAATGACTTTTAAAGACGATACCCTCGTGCACAGGAAGGAGATGCTCTCACAGCCTGCCGAGCACTTGTCAAAGACGTGCACTGGAACCGCTTGACGAAGAGAAGAGCAAGCTTGGGTGAGGAAGCTTGGACGTGACTACCGTACACGGGAGTCAAGGGGTCACAGGTACAGTGACAACACAGCACCGTGCGCGATTCCGGCCTCGTACTGCATGAACCCAAGCTGCTCGAGGTTGGCACTGATGTCAACCAATCAGGTGGCACAGTGGGCCCACTGGAATTTGCCATGTGGCAGATTCCAGTGGAGGCCGACGTTATCCTCGTAGACGCGGTTTGGCGGCCCTGATAAAAAAAATAATAATAAGGCCAGAACCCTGTTTTTGTTTCCATTCATTTCTGCTTATAAAAAAATGTGCAATATAATAAGACCCGGGTATTATGTATTTTTTTCCTATGAGGAGACCCCCCCCACTTTTTCCCTGTATTTTTAGCTATACCCTAGGGTGTTATGTCCGGGAGAATACGGTATTTCTTTTACACAGAGATTGAAAGTCAAGAAGGATCAAACCAAAGTGCGAAAGGTAAAATTAAGCCCTCGTGGCAGCACAACCTGGCACCACAACATGAAAGAACTATCCATAGGGGCGATACACTTACCACCATGCATTTAGGCATCCCATCACAGCCCGTGGCCTTTTTGAATAACCGGGTGCTGGCAGTCTCTTCCAAGAGCTGCAACAAGTTACAAGCTCGCCTCGCCTGTTACAAGGTACAACCGTTACCACAGAAATGCTGCAAGGTTGCTACTGTTGTTGAACCACGCAATGCAGCGCACAAACATGGAAAGGTGCGACTGCTACGGATGCTCATACAATGGCAACCGAGCTGTTCTTCACAGTGCCATGCTTCTCGAAACGAGTTATGCAGATGCATGCCCAGTTCATGCGGGCATTCCGGAACTTATGGCTGCCGGTGATGCTGGTCCGCCCTCTTGTTGCACCAACGGAGCTGTCCCATGCACTGCCATGGCTTCATTAGGTGGCTGTTCAAGCAGTGACTTTAGAAGTCTGACTTCTGTGGTAACTTGATTGGCTGGGGCAGGTGGTGATGCTGGCGATGTATGTACGACCATGTCTTGCACCATCAGAGTTGCTTGTTGTGCTGTTGTAGCTGGTATCGCGAGTAAGGCATCTCATATTGTGCCTTCTGCAATAGCTTGGGGTGTTGTTACTGATGCTGCTGCAGCTCCTGCTCCTGCTACTGCTGCTGCTCCCACTGCTACTTCTCCCACTTGTTGCGCCATCCACCTTGTCTCTTGCAAGGCCGTGGTTGGGAGCCTGACCAATGAAGCTGGACTCCTGGCTTCCTTGGTTTTGGTAGCCTCGGAAACTGCAGCTGTTGCTCCTATCCATTCGTCTTACTCCACTGTGCATATGGCCGTTCCTCCTTCCGCCAAGACTGCTTCCTTGGCTGCTCGCAAGGCTGTTCCCATGGCTGCTGCTGACCATAACAGCCTGGAAAGAGCAGTCACTGATGCATCGTCTCACTTGTTCGTTCTGGTGGCGAGCATTGGCCCGTGCAGCTGCAAGCGCCACTCCAGAAAGATGCATAGGAACCCGAGTCAAGTTAAGAGTCATGTGAGGAGCTAGGTTAGGAATCAGGTTTGGATTTATGCTGGCTGCGTTGCCTGGAACACGGAAACCAGCAGAATAGGTGCGGTTGAGTCGTCGGTGGGAGGTAGGCAGTGCTTTGGAGTCCCCGCCATGAGGGAAGGAGCAGGGCGTGCCATGCCTCGTCCCCAGCACCAGCCGTCTCTGCCTCAGCCACACCATGTCCTCCATGTCTTTAAACGCCGCCTCTTCCATCATGATCTATGTTACCCATTTTGACGAACACTGATGAAAGTCCCGCTTCAATCGACGGGGAGTCTTGGAGTTTCCTTCGGTTGAGCTCAATCATGCGGCGTTGCACCATCGTGGATAGGTCGGGTTCAGAAGCAACCCTGGGAGTCTTGAACCCTGATGGAAATCCCGCTCCGATCAACGGGGAGTCTTGATGATTCTTGCTGCTGTTGAGCTCAGCCATGCGGCGTTGCACCATTGTGGGTAGCACGGGTTCGGAAGCAACCCTTCGCGGGGTTGGAAGCAGAGTGGGGTGGATTTCGCTGACACGGGGAGGTATCATCGTTGGAGGAATTCCCATCGAGAAATGCAAGCTTACGGCGGGGAGAGACGCGCTCCTGAAAGTCTCTCTCCTTTCTCCTGAAACAAGCTTCTCGTGTGCGTAGACGAGCAACAACGTGCTTTTCGATTGAGTGACTTTAGAAGTAGAGCGGCGATTGTGAGTTTAGGAGTGGAAGGCTTTCACTTTAGAAGGAAAACGAGGCCACGAGACTCGGCGTTTGATGGGAGGCTCTCTCTTAAAAGCGACTGAGGTGCCGCCATGATGGCACCAGTAACTCGCGACGGTGACATGCTGGCAGGGCAATGAAGAGCGGAATCGACGATCGCTGTAGCCTCGTAGGAAGAAGGAATGCCATATCAGATGTGATTGATGGAGATATGCCTTCTACCTCAGATTGGCAGAACATTGAGATCACTTCGATATTGAACTGACCAATCCACGATGGACCGCAGTGAGGGATCAACTAAAGTACGTCAGGTGAAATATCTAAGTGAATGACGTGTCATCGCGAAGAAATATCCCTCCTCCCTCTCCCTAGCAACACCACAGTTTTCTTTTAGAGCAAGCGCTTTTCCAATAACTTGGGAACGAAAGTGCCATTGGGTAGGGTAAATATCGCGAGGGTTACAAACGCGCCGGGCCAATCCACGAGCAAGAACAACGAAATATCCGGAAATATCACTTATTAAGGCCAACAGACGCATGGTAAGGCGAGTGGCCTCATATGGTCTGAGCAGTTTGCTGCGCTTTCCCCACTCCTGTCGCTACTGTCTCGCTGCCTAGTCCTCAGCCAACAGCTAGCAAAGGAGGAAGATTCACAAAATTGGAGCAGAGTCGATCTGATTGTAACTCCAGAGCAGACGCAAGCAGTCCGTCGGAGAACGTGAGGTGAGGGCCTCTCGATGTGTTTTGAGTCACCCTACCAAAAGTGAGATGTGATCGACCTTCACCCTGCCACTGCAGTGTGCCAAGCGCGGCATACTCAAGAAATTGGCAGGGTTCTTTTAATTTCCTTGACGGAGCTGGCAGGGCAAAATTTCCGCCAACACTGTTCACCTCAAATTTTCGTTTTTCTAAACAAGCCAGGGCTGAGCTGGGTAAAACACCCTGACTTCCTGGAGCCTGGGTGAGGTGACTGACAAACCCACCCAACCCAAACTTGAGGGTATCTCGGATCTGCTGCAAAGCAGACCTCAGTGGGCCTGGCGCGAGTGGAAGGAGATGTTATTTGACGGCGGGAGAGCACCGCCGAGGGTTGTTGCCCGTCGAGGGGCAGGCGGAGCTCTGGAAGAAGGGGGTGACGCGGGGTGCCTGGTGTGGCGGAAAATATCTGCATCAGGGAGCGGGGGAGCGGGAGCGGGAGAAAGAGGCGCTTGTGCTGGAAGTGGGGCGAGCTTTGGGGGGGCTAGTGGTGCTGGCGCGGAACAACGATGGGGAGAGGAGGGGCAAATCACCCTTCATAGCCAGGGTCTCTCGGTTCTGGGTGGTTTGGCCTGAGCAGAACGAGCATCAGCAACCACCCAGGTGAGTAACGGTTCGAGACGGTTTTGTCTGAGCGCTCAGCACAGTTTGTGGTGGTTCGATTACAGGACAGATGTTGAGCGCTTCAACAAGAGCGATTCTGGACGGCGTTATGAATTATATCAGTATGTGCAGTAACGGGGACAATGCTCCAGTTCAAGTAACCATGTCGAAGGCTTTCTGTATTGGGTTTTACGTACTAGAAATCAGTAAGACTAGTAGGCAGGAGGGCAGGCAGGTTTTTACATTCGGCAAAGAAGGAGAGTGCTTAAAGATTCACACTTTCTTAATCGACTCGCACAGGCGATACTGAAGCAAATCATGGCACACCCAAGGCCCAGTCTTTCCGTCAAATTTGGTCTGCTCCTCAGCAAGCTTTATCGCCTGCCCTGGTCGCAGAAGCGCCGCGTGGTAGTCGCATTAGCTATCGCGGGTCTCGTGCTCACCCTTCTGTTACTATTACCATCAATGTTCATCTCCGGCACGGATTCTGGTTCTCAACGCAACGCCGTTTATTTCACGTCTCTTTTACAGTCACCGCTTCGCCCGCCGCTTCGCACGCAGGAATGCAGCCGCTTAGCGCAAGCCGGCTCGGAGCGTGCCATTGGCGCGATAGAGCGGTGGGATCGAATATCGAGGACCTCTACAGCGGGTTTTCCCGCTCGGGATGGTTGCACCGTGGAATACACGTCAGCAGCCGTTCCTCCCTCCGCTACCGGCACTCCTAATCTCAAGCATTCCCAATGCGCGATCGAGTGGGTCACTATATCGAAAGGGCCTAAATCGGGGGGAGCCGCACCTTTCAAATGCTCGGAGAATCTTCACCGCCTCGTCGATTCATGCCATATGAACGACATACCTATCACCATCTTCGGCCTTCATCCATCCACCACTCCCCCGCCTTCGCCTCCCGGCTCTCCAGAACCTTCCTGGATGATTCTCCTCTTTAAGTACCTCCACGTCGTGCCGCCGGACCGCATAGTAGCCGTTTCGAGCTCCGACAACGTCGTTATGCTGCCGAGCAGGCACTGCGAGCAGCAGCACCTGCTTGAGTCCTTTCTCTCGTTACAATCACCTGTGGTCTTCGCGGCTAACGACCGCTGCGCACCGTCACCTTCCTCCTCCCCCTCCGCCTCATCCGCTTCCTCGTTCTTCTACAAGCCCCATTCAGCAGACGGCGCGCCGAACAGGTTCCTTAACCTGGGGATGTTTATAGGGTACGCATGGGCCCTGCAGCGAGTGCTGGAGGTAGTGGTTGGGAGCACTCAAGGCCACGGCTCCTCAGGTCATGCAGCTTCTGCCTCTGCCTCTGCTGCCGCAGCTGCTGCTGTTGCAGGTCCTGCAGGTGCTCATGTTGATGCGCAGAGGCAGCTTCTCCTCGCCTTCTTGGCGCAGGATAACATCTTCTCCTCTCTCCCCCGACTGCCCATGGATTTCCCCTTTGCCAATGTGACTGGCACCAGCAAGGAGGGGGGTGATCCTGCGGTTGGGTCGGGAGCAGCGGATGGTGCAGGGGGCGTGTTGGAAAATCAGGATGCAATGGCGCCGCCTGTCACGTTCGCGTCAACCGCGCTCGACAACCGTTTTCTTCCGAGTTCCTCCGATCCATTTTCTTCCTCACCCTCTTCAGCATCATCATCATCAGCAGCAGGAGCAGCTGTGTGTGCGGCATTCCCCGCTCACCCTACAGCTCCCTCCTCCTCTCGTCCTTTTATATCTCTTGACCACCAGAACCAGCTCTTTCAAGTGATGGGAGCACGTGGGGCTGCAGCTCCATGGAGTAAGGAAGTGGAAGTGGTGGCATCGGGGGAGGATGTGCGAGTGAAGGCAGAAGGGACGGGAGGGGAGGCGTGTGCGTTTCAGCAGGAGGATTGGGTGGGTGGAGGAGGGGAGGGGGCGGACATGGGTGTTGTGAGGCTGACTAAGGATGTTGGGATCGACCAGCTGAGGAAGGAGAGGGGTTACATTGTGTAGGCACTCATGGCTCGGGGGAAAAGATGTGGGGGGTTGTAAGAAGTTTCGTGAAGACTCCATCCATGTCAATGTAAAGTGGGTTGATTCGTGGCTTGATTTGATGCGGCTTGGTCAGGCAGTAGTAGCTGGCTTGGCTTGCCTAGATTGATATTTCCCCGGACATGACATACATGATATTGTTACGCATGCCTCCCTGTTTGTCAACTTGTATGGATGAATGATTTTAAAGCAGGTGAATCCTAATGGACGAAACGTCTGTCTCCTACCCCCTTTCAAAAGCCCCGTAGCGATAAGAAAATATATCAATTCAAGCCCTTACGGGGAAAAACGATCTGCCATTATAATTTGCCCAGATTTGTTTTAGGGGTTGCTCGCAATCACATAAAGCCAGTCATGTGTTTAAAACAATCTCAGTACATACACGTGTTTTCTCTAAAACGCGAACATGTGATCCAACCAGCCAAGCTTCTCGCTTCGTCCAGCAAACCAGGTCACAGGGGGTCAACGCCAGGTGGTGCAGCTGGCACTTGATTGCCTTGGAAAAAGGTTCCAGAAGCCACGCCAGATCCTCAGCACTCTTCGGATTCAGAGATCTGACGTGGAGAGAATTGGACCCTTGTTGCCACCTTCGTGGAGAGACTGGTGGCAACAATGGAGCCACGCGCTTCAGAACATTGGGCAGTGAGGTGGACTATCCACCGTGGCGGATCATCCGGGCAGCCACGTCTCCCAACGAATTTCCATTTCCTTTCTGGTTTCGAGCTCCCGCTCACTCCCCACAGTCAATTTCATTTCGCGGCTTGGCAGAAGCATAAATTCACACGCCCACAATCAACTAACATTATTTCGAAAACTAGCATTCAGAACTATCAGCGATTCAATTATATCCATAATCTCGCTCTATATCCTATCTCTCTTCCAACGATGGCTTCCTCCCTCATCGCACGACAGACACTTTCTGCTCTCACCTTCAGCACAGCAGTGAAGGGCGCATCTCTCTCAACCAACCGCCTGGCAGCAGCTCCCGCCGTTGTGCCCCGTGGACTAAGTGTTTCCGCCCTCCTCGGGTTCAACAAAACTGCCGTCCCCGCAAAGGCTACCCCGGCTAAGAAACAGCTCCGTACAGAAGATGGCATTTTCGGCACATCCGGTGGATTCGGCTTCACGAAAGCTAATGAGCTCTTCGTCGGCCGCGTGGCGATGCTTGGATTCGCCGCGTCGCTTCTCGGCGAAGCGGTAACGGGGCAAGGAATTCTCTCGCAACTCAACCTCGAGACCGGAATTCCCATCACGGAAGCTGAGCCGCTGCTCCTCTTCTTCATCGCATTCACCGTGCTCGGCGCGATCGGCGGGCTGGGTGATCGCGGGCGATTCGTTGACGACGAGGCGCCTGCGGGTCCGCCGGTGAAGCCGGGGAGTTTCAAGGCCGCGCTTGGGCTGAGCGAGGACGGGCCTCTGTTTGGATTCACCAAGGCGAACGAGCTGTTTGTGGGGCGCATGGCGCAATTAGGGTTTGCGGCGAGCTTGATTGGTGAGGTGATCACTGGGAGAGGTGCGTTGGCACAGCTGAATATCGAGACTGGGTTGCCGATTTTCGAGTTGGAGCCGCTGCTGTTGGCGAGCATCGCGTTCTTCTTCGTCGCGGCTATCAATCCCGGTACAGGGAAGTTTATCAACGATGAAGAGTAGAGCACGAAGCACCTGTATATAATACACAGATTAGTTCTTAGAGTCCTTGTACACATGGATTATGAGCTCATTTCTTCATCGATGCAAGAAACTGGTTCCTCAACTAACTCAAGGCTTCTACACATGGCAGTGGGTCGATCATGCCAGAAGCAGTTTGTTCATGGCATGTACTTCCGGAACGATTCCTGTTTACAATCATATCTATGACACGACAGTATGTTCCCAACAGCTGACTGGCGGAAATCACTAATATGAAGGCTACATATACACATTCTGCACCTCTCCATCCCTTGCTGCTCTCCACCCTTTCACCACTTCCCTACCCTCGATGCGCAAAGCACATGTGGGATGCTGTGCTACGTAAATTGCAATGATTATCCACATGCCCAGGGGCGCAGGGCTCAGTACCGCAGGTTGCGGTGCGCACAGGACTTCCGGAAGGTGGGCTCATCCCCTCCCCCTTCCCTCACTCTTCTCCCTCTTCTCGTTGCACACTCAGTACCACAGGTTGCGGTGTCCACAGGACTAAAAACGTGGGCTCAATTCCCCTCCGTTCCCCCTCAACCCCCTCCCCCCCCCCCAACAACCCAACCCGCTCTCCTCCCTTGCTTCCCTGCGCTTCTCACCCACTCAGTACAGCAGGTTGCGGTGCACACACGACTCCCTAGGAAGGTGGGTCGCCGTCCTATCTCCCTCTTCATCCACCCCCCCATCTTCCCCCTCTTCCCCATCTTCCCCATCTGCCCCCTCTTCCCCATCGTGCAGAGATACGTACCGCAGGTTGCGGTGCACACAGGGCTCTGAGAAGGTCGGATCGCCGTCCTCCGCGCCTCCCTTCTGCCGCCGCCGCAGCGTCTCCAGGTGCTTGCTCACCCACGGCAGCACTCCCCCCTCCCTCTTCTTCCTCTTCTTTCCCCCTCTCGTTACCGCATCTGATGGGGGTGAGGAAGGAAGGGGGGGCTGCAAAGCAGGGGCAAGGGGTGGAGTGCAGTGTGATAGCTCATGCATGCATGTGAGGGGGCGCGGAGGAGGTGAGGAAGGGACAACCAGGAGTGAGGCGCACGTGTCTCGTGTATCTCCAGGTGGCAGTGTCTCGTGTATCTCCAGGTGGCAGTGTCTCGTGTATCTCCAGGTGGCAGTGTCTCGTGTATCTCCAGGTGGCAGTGTCTCGTGTATCTCCAGGTGGCAGTGTCTCGTGTATCTCCAGGTGGCAATGTCTCGTGTATCTCCAGGTGGCAGTGTCTCGTGTATCTCCAGGTGGCAGTGTCTCGTGTATCTCCAGGTGGCAGTGTCTCGTGTATCTCCAGGTGGCAGTGTCTCGTGTATCTCCAGGTGGCAGTGTCTCGTGTATCTCCAGGTGGCAGTGTCTCGTGTATCTCCAGGTGGCAGTGTCTCGTGTATCTCCAGGTGGCAGTGTCTCGTGTATCTCCAGGTGGCAGTGTCTCGTGTATCTCCAGGTGGCAGTGTCTCGTGTATCTCCAGGTGGCAATGTCTCGTGTATCTCCAGGTGGCAGTGTCTCGTGTATCTCCAGGTGGCAGTGTCTCGTGTATCTCCAGGTGGCAGTGTCTCGTGTATCTCCAGGTGGCAGTGTCTCGTGTATCTCCAGGTGGCAGTGTCTCGTGTATCTCCAGGTGGCAGTGTCTCGTGTATCTCCAGGTGGCAGTGTCTCGTGTATCTCCAGGTGGCAGTGTCTCGTGTATCTCCAGGTGGCAGTGTCTCGTGTATCTCCAGGTGGCAGTGTCTCGTGTATCTCCAGGTGGCAGTGTCTCGTGTATCTCCAGGTGGCAGTGTCTCGTGTATCTCCAGGTGGCAGTGTCTCGTGTATCTCCAGGTGGCAGTGTCTCGTGTATCTCCAGGTGGCAGTGTCTCGTGTATCTCCAGGTGGCAGTGTCTCGTGTATCTCCAGGTGGCAGTGTCTCGTGTATCTCCAGGTGGCAGTGTCTCGTGTATCTCCAGGTGGCAGTGTCTCGTGTATCTCCAGGTGGCAGTGTCTCGTGTATCTCCAGGTGGCAGTGTCTCGTGTATCTCCAGGTGGCAGTGTCTCGTGTATCTCCAGGTGGCAGTGTCTCGTGTATATCCAGGTGGCAGTGTCTCGTGTATCTCCAGGTGGCAGTGTCTCGTGTATCTCCAGGTGGCAGTGTCTCGTGTATCTCCAGGTGGCAGTGTCTCGTGTATCTCCAGGTGGCAGTGTCTCGTGTATCTCCAGGTGGCAGTGTCTCGTGTATCTCCAGGTGGCAGTGTCTCGTGTATCTCCAGGTGGCAGTGTCTCGTGTATCTCCAGGTGGCAGTGTCTCGTGTATCTCCAGGTGGCAGTGTCTCGTGTATCTCCAGGTGGCAGTGTCTCGTGTATCTCCAGGTGGCAGTGTCTCGTGTATCTCCAGGTGGCAGTGTCTCGTGTATCTCCAGGTGGCAATGTCTCGTGTATCTCCAGGTGGCAGTGTCTCGTGTATCTCCAGGTGGCAGTGTCTCGTGTATCTCCAGGTGGCAGTGTCTCGTGTATCTCCAGGTGGCAGTGTCTCGTGTATCTCCAGGTGGCAGTGTCTCGTGTATCTCCAGGTGGCAGTGTCTCGTGTATCTCCAGGTGGCAGTGTCTCGTGTATCTCCAGGTGGCAGTGTCTCGTGTATCTCCAGGTGGCAGTGTCTCGTGTATCTCCAGGTGGCAGTGTCTCGTGTATCTCCAGGTGGCAGTGTCTCGTGTATCTCCAGGTGGCAGTGTCTCGTGTATCTCCAGGTGGCAGTGTCTCGTGTATCTCCAGGTGGCAGTGTCTCGTGTATCTCCAGGTGGCAGTGTCTCGTGTATCTCCAGGTGGCAGTGTCTCGTGTATCTCCAGGTGGCAGTGTCTCGTGTATCTCCAGGTGGCAGTGTCTCGTGTATCTCCAGGTGGCAGTGTCTCGTGTATCTCCAGGTGGCAGTGTCTCGTGTATCTCCAGGTGGCAGTGTCTCGTGTATCTCCAGGTGGCAGTGTCTCGTGTATCTCCAGGTGGCAGTGTCTCGTGTATCTCCAGGTGGCAGTGTCTCGTGTATCTCCAGGTGGCAGTGTCTCGTGTATCTCCAGGTGGCAGTGTCTCGTGTATCTCCAGGTGGCAGTGTCTCGTGTATCTCCAGGTGGCAGTGTCTCGTGTATCTCCAGGTGGCAGTGTCTCGTGTATCTCCAGGTGGCAGTGTCTCGTGTATCTCCAGGTGGCAGTGTCTCGTGTATCTCCAGGTGGCAGTGTCTCGTGTATCTCCAGGTGGCAGTGTCTCGTGTATCTCCAGGTGGCAGTGTCTCGTGTATCTCCAGGTGGCAGTGTCTCGTGTATCTCCAGGTGGCAGTGTCTCGTGTATCTCCAGGTTGCAGTGTCTCGTGTATCTCCAGGTGGCAGTGTCTCGTGTATCTCCAGGTGGCAGTGTCTCGTGTATCTCCAGGTGGCAGTGTCTCGTGTATCTCCAGGTGGCAGTGTCTCGTGTATATCCAGGTGGCAGTGTCTCGTGTATCTCCAGGTGGCAGTGTCTCGTGTATCTCCAGGTGGCAGTGTCTCGTGTATCTCCAGGTGGCAGTGTCTCGTGTATCTCCAGGTGGCAGTGTCTCGTGTATCTCCAGGTGGCAGTGTCTCGTGTATCTCCAGGTGGCAGTGTCTCGTGTATCTCCAGGTGGCAGTGTCTCGTGTATCTCCAGGTGGCAGTGTCTCGTGTATCTCCAGGTGGCAGTGTCTCGTGTATCTCCAGGTGGCAGTGTCTCGTGTATCTCCAGGTGGCAGTGTCTCGTGTATCTCCAGGTGGCAGTGTCTCGTGTATCTCCAGGTGGCAGTGTCTCGTGTATCTCCAGGTGGCAGTGTCTCGTGTATCTCCAGGTGGCAGTGTCTCGTGTATCTCCAGGTGGCAGTGTCTCGTGTATCTCCAGGTGGCAGTGTCTCGTGTATCTCCAGGTGGCAGTGTCTCGTGTATCTCCAGGTGGCAGTGTCTCGTGTATATCCAGGTGGCAGTGTCTCGTGTATCTCCAGGTGGCAGTGTCTCGTGTATCTCCAGGTGGCAGTGTCTCGTGTATCTCCAGGTGGCAGTGTCTCGTGTATCTCCAGGTGGCAGTGTCTCGTGTATCTCCAGGTGGCAGTGTCTCGTGTATCTCCAGGTGGCAAGTGTCTCGTGTATCTCCAGGTGGCAGTGTCTCGTGTATCTCCAGGTGGCAGTGTCTCGTGTATCTCCAGGTGGCAGTGTCTCGTGTATCTCCAGGTGGCAGTGTCTCGTGTATCTCCAGGTGGCAGTGTCTCGTGTATCTCCAGGTGGCAGTGTCTCGTGTATCTCCAGGTGGCAGTGTCTCGTGTATCTCCAGGTGGCAATGTCTCGTGTATCTCCAGGTGGCAGTGTCTCGTGTATCTCCAGGTGGCAGTGTCTCGTGTATCTCCAGGTGGCAGTGTCTCGTGTATCTCCAGGTGGCAGTGTCTCGTGTATCTCCAGGTTGCAGTGTCTCGTGTATCTCCAGGTGGCAGTGTCTCGTGTATCTCCAGGTGGCAGTGTCTCGTGTATCTCCAGGTGGCAGTGTCTCGTGTATCTCCAGGTGGCAGTGTCTCGTGTATCTCCAGGTGGCAGTGTCTCGTGTATCTCCAGGTGGCAGTGTCTCGTGTATCTCCAGGTGGCAGTGTCTCGTGTATCTCCAGGTGGCAGTGTCTCGTGTATCTCCAGGTGGCAGTGTCTCGTGTATCTCCAGGTGGCAATGTCTCGTGTATCTCCAGGTGGCAGTGTCTCGTGTATCTCCAGGTGGCAGTGTCTCGTGTATCTCCAGGTGGCAGTGTCTCGTGTATCTCCAGGTGGCAATGTCTCGTGTATCTCCAGGTGGCAGTGTCTCGTGTATCTCCAGGTGGCAGTGTCTCGTGTATCTCCAGGTGGCAGTGTCTCGTGTATCTCCAGGTGGCAGTGTCTCGTGTATCTCCAGGTGGCAGTGTCTCGTGTATCTCCAGGTGGCAGTGTCTCGTGTATCTCCAGGTGGCAGTGTCTCGTGTATCTCCAGGTGGCAGTGTCTCGTGTATCTCCAGGTGGCAGTGTCTCGTGTATCTCCAGGTGGCAGTGTCTCGTGTATCTCCAGGTGGCAGTGTCTCGTGTATCTCCAGGTGGCAGTGTCTCGTGTATCTCCAGGTGGCAGTGTCTCGTGTGTCTCCAGGTGGCAGTGTCTCGTGTATCTCCAGGTGGCAGTGTCTCGTGTATCTCCAGGTGGCAGTGTCTCGTGTATCTCCAGGTGGCAGTGTCTCGTGTATCTCCAGGTGGCAGTGTCTCGTGTATCTCCAGGTTGCAGTGTCTCGTGTATCTCCAGGTGGCAGTGTCTCGTGTATCTCCAGGTGGCAGTGTCTCGTGTATCTCCAGGTGGCAGTGTCTCGTGTATCTCCAGGTGGCAGTGTCTCGTGTATCTCCAGGTGGCAGTGTCTCGTGTATCTCCAGGTGGCAGTGTCTCGTGTATCTCCAGGTGGCAGTGTCTCGTGTATCTCCAGGTGGCAGTGTCTCGTGTATCTCCAGGTGGCAGTGTCTCGTGTATCTCCAGGTGGCAGTGTCTCGTGTATCTCCAGGTGGCAGTGTCTCGTGTATCTCCAGGTGGCAGTGTCTCGTGTATCTCCAGGTGGCAGTGTCTCGTGTATCTCCAGGTGGCAGTGTCTCGTGTATCTCCAGGTGGCAGTGTCTCGTGTATCTCCAGGTGGCAGTGTCTCGTGTATCTCCAGGTGGCAGTGTCTCGTGTATCTCCAGGTGGCAGTGTCTCGTGTATCTCCAGGTGGCAGTGTCTCGTGTATCTCCAGGTGGCAGTGTCTCGTGTATCTCCAGGTGGCAGTGTCTCGTGTATCTCCAGGTGGCAGTGTCTCGTGTATCTCCAGGTGGCAGTGTCTCGTGTATCTCCAGGTGGCAGTGTCTCGTGTATCTCCAGGTGGCAGTGTTAGAGGGCCCTACGACAGGTGGCAGGTGATACAAGTGAGTTTTTTAAAAGGCGTCTCAAGAACTCCCTTTTTTATCACGTGACTCTCATCTCATGCATCTCCAGGTGCTTGCTCACCCACGACAGCACGTCCTTCATTGCCCCGTCCATGCGCATCTGATGGGAGCCACGGGAGCGGCGCCAGGTGGCGAGGGAGGAGGCGAGGTGCAGTAGAGTGAAGTGGCCCTCGACACCGCAACCAACCCACTGCAACCGAACCTAGTGGCCCTCAACACCGCAACCAACCCACTGCAACCGAACCTAGTGGCCCTCAACACCGCAACCAACCCACCGCAACCAAACCCAGCCCACCCGCCTACCTGCGTTCTGAGCATGCCGCCTTGAAAGAGCATGAGCCTGGCGGGGCCAAAGCACCCATGAGAGCGGCACCACATGGCGAGGGAGGAGGCGAGGGAGGAGGCGAGGTGCAGCAGAGTGAAGCGGGCCTCGAAGCCCCACTGGCTGTGCGCAACAAAGGTGCTGCCTGAGAGGTGCCTTGCGTCTGGACTGGAGGCAAGGAGGCAAAGTTGAGGAGCGTGTACTGGTTGCGCGTTGCGCCGTCCATGTCCTTTTCGTTGCCTCCCTGGTAAATTGCAGGGAGAACAGAACAGGGCAGAAGGGACAGGAACGATGGAACAGGAACGATGGAACAGGGGGGAAGGGATAGGGGGGAGGGGACAGGGGGGAGGGGAACAGGGAGAAGGGACAGTTGGAGGGGAAGGGGAGGAGGGATGGAGATGAGGGGACAGGGAAGAAGGAGGGGCTGCCCTGAGAGGTGCCTGGGATGAAGGTGCTGCCTGAGAGGTGCCTGGGATGAAGGTGCTGCCTGAGAGGTGCCTGGGATGAAGGTGCTGCCTGAGAGGTGCCTGGGATGAAGGTGCTGCCTGAGAGGTGCCTGGGATGAAGGTGCTGCCTGAGAGGTGCCTGGGATGAAGGTGCTTCCTGAGAGGTGCCTGGGATGAAGGTGCTGCCTGAGAGGTGCCTGGGATGAAGGTGCTGCCTGAGAGGTGCCTGGGATGAAGGTGCTGCCTGAGTGGTGCCTGGGATGAAGGTGCTGCCTGAGAGGTGCCTGGGATGAAGGTGCTGCCTGAGAGGTGCCTGGGATGAAGGTGCTGCCTGAGAGGTGCCTGGGATGAAGGTGCTGCCTGAGAGGTGCCTGGGATGAAGGTGCTGCCTGAGAGGTGCCTGGGATGAAGGTGCTGCCTGAGAGGTGCCTGGGATGAAGGTGCTGCCTGAGAGGTGCCTGGGATGAAGGTGCTGCCTGAGAGGTGCCTGGGATGAAGGTGCTGCCTGAGAGGTGCCTGGGATGAAGGTGCTGCCTGAGAGGTGCCTGGGATGAAGGTGCTGCCTGAGAGGTGCCTGGGATGAAGGTGCTCCCTGAGAGGTGCCTGGGATGAAGGTGCTGCCTGAGAGGTGCCTGGGATGAAGGTGCTGCCTGAGAGGTGCCTGGGATGAAGGTGCTGCCTGAGAGGTGCCTGGGATGAAGGTGCTCCCTGAGAGGTGCCTGGGATGAAGGTGCTGCCTGAGAGGTGCCTGGGATGAAGGTGCTGCCTGAGAGGTGCCTGGGATGAAGGTGCTGCCTGAGAGGTGCCTGGGATGAAGGTGCTGCCTGAGAGGTGCCTGGGATGAAGGTGCTGCCTGAGAGGTGCCTGGGATGAAGGTGCTGCCTGAGAGGTGCCTGGGATGAAGGTGCTGCCTGAGAGGTGCCTGGGATGAAGGTGCTGCCTGAGAGGTGCCTGGGATGAAGGTGCTGCCTGAGAGGTGCCTGGGATGAAGGTGCTGCCTGAGAGGTGCCTGGGATGAAGGTGCTCCCTGAGAGGTGCCTGGGATGAAGGTCCTGCCTGAGAGGTGCCTGGGATGAAGGTGCTGCCTGAGAGGTGCCTGGGATGAAGGTGCTGCCTGAGAGGTGCCTGGGATGAAGGTGCTGCCTGAGAGGTGCCTGGGATGAAGGTGCTGCCTGAGAGGTGCCTGGGATGAAGGTGCTTCCTGAGAGGTGCCTGGGATGAAGGTGCTGCCTGAGAGGTGCCTGGGATGAAGGTGCTGCCTGAGAGGTGCCTGGGATGAAGGTGCTGCCTTCCCTGAGAGGTGCCTGGGATGAAGGTGCTGCCTGAGAGGTGCCTGGGATGAAGGTGCTGCCTGAGAGGTGCCTGGGATGAAGGTGCTGCCTGAGAGGTGCCTGGGATGAAGGTGCTGCCTGAGAGGTGGCCCGCATCTGGACTGGAGGCAAGGAGGCAAAGTCGAGGAGCGTGTACTGGTTGCGCGTTGCGCCGTCCATGTCCTTTTCGTTGCCTCCCTGGTGAATCACGGGTGGTGGAAGGGGAGCAGGAAGAAACAGGGCTTCAAATGCAGGCCCATGTCGAGAAGAGATGTGCATATCGTTGTCTGCAAGACACGACAGAAGTATCGTGTGATTCACACTGTACGATCCACACCGTGCAATCCACACTGTGCAATTCACTCCAGGCAATCAACACACACAAACGCACCTTGATGCACATGACGCGTCCGTTGACGGTGTGCGTGGGCACTTGAGCGAAGTGTGTAGTGGTTGCGTGATGGGCCGTCCGTGTCCTCGTCATTGCCCCCCTGGTGGGTGCCATGTTACGAGACGCAGGGAGACGAGAACAGAGTGGACGGCACAGAAAGGATGGAAGAGTGAGGAAGGGTCAAGGAGGGAAAGAGGGGCTGTGCGCGATGAAGGTGCTGCCTGAGAGGTGGCCTGCGTCTGGAGGCGCGGAGCGGAGGCAATATGTGGGTGCCATGAGGGGCGGTTACAGCCGAAGAGAGTGTACTGGTTGCGCAATGATGGATCGTCCACTCCATATCCGCATCGTCGTTGTCGCCCTGATGGCCAATTAGGGAGGGGGGAAGGGGGTGCAGGGGTGGTGGAAGTGGGCCAGACTGAATGCAATACCGTAATGGGATTTCGGTTACTTGCATACAGCCATACTGACTAGAGGTGCACATGCCACTCTCCACATGCACACACACACACATACACACACACACACCTTCACACACTGACACACACCCACACACACACACACCCACACACACACACGCACGCACGCACGCGAGCACACACACACACACACCCACACACAAACACACACACACACACGCACACATGCACGCACGAGCGCACACAAACATACCTTGATACACATGATGTGTCTACTAACAGTGTGGGCGGGCACTTGAGCGATCTGAGCGGTGATGAAGGGGTGCTGGATGGTGAGCTGCTTCAAGAACTGCTTGCTGTCTCGGTGCTCAAATGCGTCAAACACCATGTGCGCCGCTGTGCTGAGTCTGCGTCGTCGCACCACCTGATTGTATAAGTGTGTGTGTGAGAGAGTGGGAGGGAGAAACGTTGAGGGTGGATGTGCATGAAGAGAGGGAATGGTCCTTGAACGCATCAAACACCATGTGCGCTGCTGTGCTCAGCCTGCACCACCGCACCACCTGGGAGTGTGTGAGAAAGCAGGAGGGAGTAGCATGGAAAGGGGGGATGCATGACGCGGGGGGTGCTCCAAGCCTCAAACGCCTCTACTGTGTGAGACGGAAATGTTCATTTGCTGGCTGGGAGGGAGTGTGCAATGTTATTAATCAAATGCTAGAATGCGTTTTGCCTACATGTGTCTACTAGAGGAATGGTAGGTGACGGTATGAACTAAGGAATGGGGGAACAAGTGGCGATAACGTTGGCTCTGCTCTGGTTTGCGTGAAAATGTCAGTCGATTTAAGCTGAGAAATAGGTGAGCACGAAACAATGCTATGAAATGGCCAATTTGAAATTCGGGGCCTAGGCGGGGGGTTGCACATACAGTAGTTCGAACCGAAAGCAAATGTCGTCTTTCAACACAAATTCCTTTACAATTAGACCCCACATCCTCGTTCACTTTAGATGTAATAGTTCCCGCAAATTCAACTAGCACACGTACGGCGGCGAGATATCAACAAAAATTACAAGGTGCAAGCTTGTTACTTGTGCTTGCGGCCATAGTGTCCGTGGTGGCCACCCTTATGCTTGCCACCATGGTGACCGTAATGGCCACCCTTGTGCTTGCCGCCGTGGTGTCCGTGGTGACCGTGGCCATAGTGACCGTGGCCCTTGCCGCCGTAGTGGTGGCCCTTGCCCTTCTTCTCGCTGCCGTATCCGCCGGTAAGGCCAGTCACGACGACATCTCCACGTGGTGCGGGGCCACCTGCATTTTGAGAGCGGAATCATGAATGCGAGAACGAAATCAGCGATCCGGTAGGCGAAAACGCTGAGATTCTCATAACGCCAAGAGTCAAGACAAGCCATACCTGGAAGAGGGTAGTCATACGGGCTGGGGCTGCTTTCGCCAGCTGCATGAAGAGATAGCACGGATTACAAAAACCAAGTCAGTACTCCTGCAGACTGGACTGTAGGAAGCCGAGTAGAAAAAACGGTCCAAGCAAACTCACAGTAAGACATGATGAAAGAGTGGCGAAATGCTACTCCAAGAATGTGAAACGATGACTGAAGAATTCCGACTATGGGAGCTCCATTTATTCACAATTCACAGCTAGTGCTGTGGGATGAGTCAAGCCGACGGCAAAGCCTTGGTCAGTGCTTGCTGGTTCTTTCTGAAATGTCCCGGTCAAGCCAGCGTGGCAGTCGAACATTGGCGAACACAGTCAAATAATCCACATCTCTCCACTTCCTGAATGCCACGAGGGTTGAGACACGCTGGAGAGATTCACCCAAGGCTCGTCGCCCAAACACCAAGTTTATTGACGCTTGGGAAACGCGAGCCTAGCGGTTCGGTTGGGCGCTAGGTTCAAGGTTCCCAGACCTGGAGAATGCCCTGTTTCGTTGCATCCAGTCCAGATCCAGCTGTGTACCACTCTCGAATCGAACCAACGTCGTGAACAACAAAGTGTACATATACATTTGTAGCTAGTACGTTCACCATTATGCCAAAATCAATGCTAATTTTGTCAAAGGCCAACACACTCATCAACTACTCTTCCCACTGCCGTTCTGGATTTTCAGCTTCCCAAACCATCCTCCTGCTTCTTAATATCAGAGAATTCACTCTTGAGGGTCCTCCAAAGGCTGTCAGCAGAATGTATTTTGTGCAAAAGTTGGAAACAGCAAAAATTTTAAACCATTCAACATCACAGCTTCCAATGAAAGAAAGACATCCTTCGTGAGAAAAAAACGAGCATGCATAGTTAGATGGGTGTTACACTGATTCTCAACAGGAGCAACATAGTGGCAGCATTTTACCACGTACGAGCATGTGAACGCCTTCTACTTGTGCCTACGGCCGAAGAGGCCCTTGCGCTTGCCGATCCTGTGGCCCAACCCCTTATGCTTGTGACCTCCGTGGTGACCATGATGCTTGTGGTGACCATGGCGTCCCTTAAAGTGGCCCTTGAAATGGTGGCCCTTGCCCTTCTTCTCACTGCCGTATCCGCCAGTAAGACCAGTCACGACCACATCCCCACGTGGCGAGGGTCCACCTGAAAGTGTGTTTCCAATAGACAACGGGATCGTAAGCAAAATCAAAATACAAAGGAAAAGAATGGTGCTGAAACGTTTGGGATTGGAACTGTGAGGATAAGATCAAGTCGCACCTGGGAGAGGATAGTCATACGGGCTGGGGTCGCTTCCGCCATCTGACAGGGGCACAGATCACACGGACCTAAGTCAGTACTGCCATATCAAGGAAACAACTAGCTCCCTGCTGGGAATGGCGGAAGCACTATCACTCACAATAAGACATCTTGACGACCGGGTTGAAAGGAAGCTAACTCCAAGTGTGAAAAGGAATGACTGAATGGATATGGCAAGAACGACAGATGATATATGAGCAGGCGCTTGCCAAATTCGGACAATCACAGGTGAGGGCTTCTCACATCGGGCGAAAAAATGCTGTTCTAATATGGCATTCTAAGGGCGTGTTACATTTTTCATTTGTTTCGTCCGGATGGCCAGCCGTCCGGTCAATTATGTGGTTACGGAACTCGCGAAATCTCGGCAGTGAGTTCGTCATAGTATAGACGACGTCGCATTCTTCGTATTGCGTCCTTACGACATCGTATTGGTCGCACGCGTCCGGACAGCCGTCCGGACGTTCAGAGACTTCAAAAAATGTAGCACGCCCTAGATCCCGAATTCTAGACATGAAGTTGGGTAAGGTATGTTTAAAAACCAACTCCCGTCGGTTGAGTACGGTGCTTGTACGGAGAAGGCCCTCACTGGCTTGGGTCCGCCAGTGCCCATGTGACCCAGTGATCTCGCAGTACAGTAACTTCAAGGTGGCAGCTATTCATTCGCGGCACAGTCAGCACAGTGAATACATGCGTGTTATTGAGTGCCACGGAGGACGGTACACGCTGGCGAGAGATTCCCGTCCGGGTGGTCGCCAAGCCACCGACAAGCCAATGTCGAATCACAAATCAAGAAAGAAGGGGCACTCCCACGAGAGGCCATCATAGCGAAAGGGGTACTGGACATTACGAAATTCTCGATTTCCCTATTGTAACCCTGATCGTGCGTGTTCAAGCGTACAGGGGGTTCAACTCACAAATTGGATGGTCAATGGATGGACTTTATCGGTCTACTTTCTCTTGTAGAAGCGTTTGACGTAACATTCTATAACGAGTTTCTCAAAACAAGGATTTCGCGCCTCGCCTCGCCTATTCTGACACAATCCCAGAAACCCAGTCCTGGAATTTGGAAACCATCAAAGAGCCGTTGCAAACAGAAAGAGTTTATTGCTTCCAGCGTTTGGCAAATGCAGTACCAGATCAGAAGTCTCCACTGTTTGAATCCATGAAACTATTGAAGTGAGCGAGCGATTACGTGACTGATCCGACGGGTTGTTCGCCAGAGATACTTTTGTGATGTTAGGGGAATGTACTAGTCTACGAGGCTGTTTATGTGCTCCTTCGAAACACACTGGGACTAGCTAGTCGCAAGTTCTTCCCAGCCTCGGTCACGAAACCTTACACGATCTTGTAGCTTTTCTGCACACGCTTGTACGCGCATTAACGAGCTTTGAGATTGTTCGCAACCGTTCGCGAAATGAGGAGGGGCGGTGCGCGTGCCGATATGCAGCGCGGGATCGTGGTGGTTACGCCCGCACTCGACGCTGTATTCAAGGCAGCCCGGTCATCCGGGACCCTCAACCTCTCCGGGAAAGATCTCAAGTACGAAGCCACGAATCTAAGGAAATAGAAAGCTTCCCATTCTTTATTTGTTCCTCTGGTTTAGCCGAGTAACTAACACCCCGTTTGTGGCTTATGCAGCATACAGTATACAGTGTACGACGTGTCAGCAAAATGCTACGTTTTCCACTAATGCCTGATCTGTTGTTTTCGAAGCGGACCTTGTTTTCTACTGACTGTTGTCTTTGTTCCGAGCTGGTTTAAGAAAATTAATAAACAACACACGAGCATTCGGTGCATTGGTATTCTCCCCTTACATAGTTTCTTTCGGAACCATGCCGGCGAGACTTGCTAGTCGACGACTGCAGGTTATCTCCACTCCGTACATCGCCTCTCCATTCCTCCCTGAAACTGCGTTTCCAAGTAACCTTGTGACCAACGACGAGACCAGTGATCCGGTCTCCCTGACACCCTGACCTCTTGAGATGTCTCAACGCGTGTCGCCCTGACATGGCGTCTATTAAGTCGTCTCAACGCTTGTCATCGTGACAAAGCGTCTCCGATCATCACTCGTGTCACCTAGGAATCACCTGGTGTCAACCAAAAGATCACCTCGTAATATAGCAGGAGTAGACAAAGAAACCGCCTGCGTCACCTGCTTCAATTCAGATGGTTTCCATGACTTCTCTTCCGTCCCTCCGTGTCGTGTCTCACAGGGAAGTGCCTCCCGAGGTCTACTCTCTGCTGGACGACGTTCCTCAGTCCGAGAAGTGGTGGGAGGTGCGTCGATGTGCATACATTTACTGTATGTGGTGAGATGCGTGTGTGGTGAGAGATGTGCGTTGTCCCGAGTGATATCTCCCGAGTTTCTACTCGCTGCTGGATGGCGTTCGTCAGTCCGATCCGATTAATGGTGGGAGGTGCGTTGGTGTGTATGCCTTCACCCTGCATGCCTTGACTGTCTGTGGTTACGTGTCTGTGGTGAGAGATGTGCATTGTCGTCACGGGTAATTTCCTCCGACGCCTTCCCGTCGCTGGACGACGTCCCTCAAGTTCGACAAGTGGTGGAAGGTGCGTTGGAAGGCAGAAACTGGTGTGCATGCCTTGAGTTGGTGTGGTAGATGCTTCCATGCGGATGCTACTACTCGATGCTGGATGGCGTTCCATATTCCGAAAAATAATGGTTATATTATATGTTGGTAGAAATCAGTGCACCGATAGTGGTCACCCCATTCCCCCCATCCCCGGTTATCTCAACCCATCTCCCCCATCCCCCATTATCCCCCCCCATCCCCCCTCAGGCCGTGGAGCTACAGAAGGTGCTTCTGGCGCTCAACGGCCTCGATCACATCTTAGGGATCGGCCTGTTTATTCCCGGTGCAGCACCACCCTCATCCATACCACCCGCTCCCCCTATCCCCTCCATCCCCCCAGGCCGTGGAGTTACAGAAGGTGCTGCTGGCGCGCAACAGCCTGACCCACATCTCAGAGGAGATCGGCCGCCTGCCCTGCCTCACGTGGCTTGACGTCAGCTACAATGCCCTGCCCCGCCTGCCTGCTGCTGTCGGCAAGTGAGTGTGGCATGTGGTGAGTGGGGAATTTGAGTACGAGGGTGAAGCAGATTGCTCGCCTGCCCTGCTTCACATGGCTTGACGTCAGATACAACACCCTGCCCCGCCTGCCTGCTGCTGTCGGCAAGTGACTGTGGCATGTGTAGGGGTGTGTGGGGTACACGGATGAGATGTGTGGGCTTGTGGTGAGGTCTGTGTAGTGGCGTGTGGGGTGTGGAGTGTGGAGATTGGAGTGTGGAGCTTTTGTCGGTGGGGTGTACGCTGTATGGCGTGACATGGCAACATGTCGCACATCAAGACACACTTGCTCCATTCCGGGATCGATCGTCTTGGTCCCTTCGTTTCCCCACTTCGTTCGTCGCGTATGGGTCCCTCCGTTCCCCCGTGCCCCGACTCCACCTTGGCTAGTGATGCTCAGGAGTCTGATGACAAGCCACAACAAGGTGACCTTCAAATGGACTCAACTACCGCCCTCCCACCACCCCACGCAGCCTCATTTTCCATTTCACTCCACTTCACTCCATTGTCCCCCTCTGCAATCGCTGCACCACCCAGGCTAGTGGAGCTCAAGAGTCTGCTGGCGAGCCACAACAAGCTGGAGTGCCTGCCAGAGGAGATCGGCGGTGCAGCGAACCTGGTCAAGTGAGTGCAGCGAACCTGGTCAAGTGAGTGCAGCGAACCTGGTCAAGTGAGTGCAGCAGCGAACCTGGTCAAGTGAGCTCACCAAACCTGGTCGAGTAAGTTCAGCGAACCTGATCAAGTGAGCGCACCGAACCTGGTCGAGTAAGTGCAGTGAACCTGGTCAAGTGAGCGCACCTAACCTGGTCAAGTAAGTGCAGCGAACCTGGTCAAGTGAGTGCAACCGCGAACCTGGCCGAGCCAGGAGCAGTAGCTAGCAGGAGGCCTTACTGAACGCTACAACCTTACCTCCCATTTCTTCATTCGGTTTTGCACCAAGGGTTCTGTTATTTATAAAAATTTCGTCCCCCCCCCAATCATTGTGCCGGCCAACCACTGTGCGGGCTGGACGTCTCTCGCAACGTGCTGGAAGGGCTGCCTGCTGCTCTTGCCGCCTGCACACCCCTTTCATTTTTGGAACGCCTCGAAAATCACCATCCCCGCCAATCTCTCCACTACCCCCCCCCCCCGCCAACCACGGTGCAGGCTGGACGTCTCCCACAACGTGCTGGAAGGCCTGCCTGCTGCTCTTGCCGCCTGCACACTCCTCTCCCACCTTGAGGTCCGCCAGCCTCGTTTAATTTATGTGTCACTTGTGAGAATTTCCAAAACTCTCCCACAACGTGCTGGAAGGCCTGCCTGCTGCTCTCGCCGCCTGCACACTCCTCATCCACCTCGAGGTCCGCCAGCCTCGCTCCTACCTCGTCCCCATCTCCTCGTTTCCACTGCCTCCCTTGCCTCCTGTTTCGGGGGAAGTTTCTGCTTGGAGCGAGCATTTTGACAAGCCCAGCGAGTGCTTCCTCTTGTCCCTCCTATCTTCTGCAGGCATGCTCCAACCGCATTGCTTCCCTGCCAGCCTCCTTGGGTGCCTGCACTGCTCTCTCTCATCTCAATCTCGAGGTGCGCTGTGTTGTGTTGTGCTCCTGCTTGACTCATCTCAGTTGCTTCCTAAGCCATTGCCTAGATTTATCTCGTCTCGTCCCGCAGGTAAACTTCAGCATTTCATAAGAACATACTTGTACCATGGTCCATCCATGTGTTACTAGGGTGTACCTGCATTGCATGCGCGCACCTGTGTTTGAACATGCACCTGTGTTTGAATGTGCTGTGACTCAATTCTGTGTTTCCGGACTTGATAGATTTGCCCCAATCTTTTTCTAAGACGCATCCTGTCTTGAAAGAGTCCCTCCCTCATCCCTCCCTCCCTCCCTCTCCCCTTTTCCCTCTCCCATCATTCCCCACATACGTTTTTTCCTGATCTCCCTTAAAACCAAAAATCGTTTTCTATTTCTTTTCCTCTTACCCTCCTCCTCTCACCCTTCTTTTTTCTTCCCCTCTCCCTCACATACGCCAATGACAGAACAACCAGCTGCAGAGCATCCCCTCGCCGCTGCTCTCCTCACTCCGCAACCTCAGGCATCTCGACCTTGGTATGGCATCTCTCAAACTTGGTATGGCGTCACTCGACCTTGGTATGGCATCTCTCCACCTTGGTATGGCATGCATCCATAATATACTCTGGTTGCTCCACCTTGGCTGGTATGGCATCCAAGCATGAGGCCTACGAGGACGTGTTTTCCAACATTTCTCTGACCATACTTTCTTCCTCATCATGCCTCCTCGTCTCATCTTGTCTCCTCTCATCTCATCTCATCTCGTTTCGTCATCCCCTTGCCTTCTTCCCTCAACCCATAGCGCAACAAGCTGCAGTCTCTCCGTGACGACATACAAGGCCGCAACTCACAGAGGGCCTCTCGTCCCTCCTCCTCAACCAGGGTCGTTAGACATTTCACAAAAGTCCACTTTTGTCTCCGCTCAACTCATCTTGTCTCATCCCGTCGCGTCACTCCTCCCCCTGTTCCCATGGCCCAGGGCGCAACAAGCTGCAGGCTCTCCCGGACGACATAGGAGCCCTTTCGTCCCTCCTACACCTCAACGCCTTTCAGAACCGTGAGTCCCGCCACCCCTTTTCGAAGGCCGTTTGGATCTAGCATGGATGGATCCATCCACCCATGCATGATCGTTAGGGCATCTATTATTGTAACCATGACAGCTTATTCTCCCCGCACACTCTTTAGAGCTTAGTTTCCTTTTTCCCTTCTGTATCGTTGTTCACCTCCCCGTCCTTCTAAGTACTGACTTCCCACATGTACATGTATAGATGTATGTAGGTATGTATGTCGATACGTATATATACTGCCCCTCTCCCCTCGGTCGCCTCTCCTCCTCCCCTGTGCCTCTCAGAATGTTAACGTTTGCTTCAATCCGTACAAAATCTCAGAAATTCTCCTCCTCGCCATTGCCCCTCAACTCTTGAGTCGACTCCGTGTCATCCCCTGTACCTCTCGGCATGAAACCTTTTGCTTTGATCCATATAGTCGTCCACACATACTCATCTCTTCTTCCTCCCCCCTCCCATTCTCACCCCCACCGCCTCCTCGCTCCCATTTCCCATCCCTCCTCACACCTCTCCACCGTTCCCCTTCCCTCGCCACACCTCTCTCATGCGGCATCCCACCGCCAGGCCTTGTTTCTGTTCCATCGACCATCAGTGGCTGCACCTCCCTACTGGAGCTGCACCTGGGGTACGTTTTGAGTTTCACCTGAGGTACGTTTGGTGTGACACTGCAACTGCGGTACACATGTGGTGTGTCTTTGAACAGTTGAGGTACGTTGAGAAGATTACCTTGCAGATGCAATTAAACCTAGTCTGAGGTACGTCTGAGATACGTCTGAGGTACGTCTGAGGTACGTCTGAGGTACGTCTGAGATACGTCTGAGGTACGTCTGAGGTACGTCTGAGGTACGTGTGCGGTACGTCTGCGGTCCCCTGTTCCTGCCTCTCTTTTCATGCTTGGTCCCTGAATGCATGCCATTTCAAGTTGGTTTTCTGCGTTAAAATAGAAAAGGCATGCCATGTTTTTAACTCATAATCATCTCCGTTTGAAGCAATGAATGTTAACCTTCCCCCCTGCCTTTCACCTCCCATCTTTTCCTCCCCCCTGCTCTTCCCTCATTTCCCGCCCCCCTCCTCTCCCTCCTCCCCGCCCACCCCTCCCCTCCCCGCTTCCCCACTCCTGTTCCCCTCCCCCATTTTCCACCCACTTTCTGCTTTGCCATTCCTCTCGCCTCTTGTTAGTCCCCCTACATCTACCCCCTTCCTCTACCCTCTTAGACTACCCTCGTCCTCTACCCCCTACCTTCCTCTACCCCCTTCCGCCACCCCTTCCTCCATCCCCTTCCTCTGCCCACTCCCTTCAACTCTACCCTTGTTCTCCTTGTTTCCGCTCTCCTCATCTCCTTTCCACTTCCTCTCCCGCTCATCCCCTTCCGTTTTTTCCTTCCTCTCCCTTGTTCCTCACCCACCTTCCCGTTTGCTTTCTCCTCATCCTTTTTCCATCCCATTCAACTCCCTACCCTCCCGTTTCTCCCCACTCCTTTTTTTCACGCCTTTCCCTGTCTTCCCCTCGCCCTGCTCTTTCTTACCTCTCGCCTCCTATGCTTCAGGCGCAACAAGCTGAAGCAGCTGCCAGTGGAAATCGGCCACCTGCCCTCGCTTGTGACGCTCTCTGTGCCCTCCAACAAGGTGGGCGCTCTCACATGCTTGCATGTCATGTGTTGTGTCCCAACCACTCACATGCTGTTTTTTATTTGCTGTGTCCCACGTGCTGTGTCCCACGTGCTGTGTCCCACGTGCTATGTCCCACGTGCTGTGTCCCACGTGCTGTGTCCCACGTGCTGTGTCCCACGTGCTGTGTCCCACGTGCTGTGTCCCACGTGCTGTGTCCCACGTGCTGTGTCCCACGTGCTGTGTCCCACGTGCTGTGTCCCACGTGCTGTGTCCCACGTGCTGTGTCCCACGTGCTGTGTCCCACGTGCTGTGCCCCACGTGCTGTGCCCCACGTGCTGTGCCCCACGTGCTGTGCCCCACGTGCTGTGTCCCACGTGCTGTGTCCCACGTGCTGTGTCCCACGTGCTGTGTCCCACGTGCTGTGTCCCACGTGCTGTGTCCCACGTGCTGTGTCCCACGTGCTGTGTCCCACGTGCTGTGTCCCACGTGCTGTGTCCCACGTGCTGTGTCCCACGTGCTGTGTCCCACGTGCTGTGTCCCACGTGCTGTGTCCCACGTGCTGTGTCCCACGTGCTGTGTCCCACGTGCTGTGTCCCACGTGCTGTGTCCCACGTGCTGTGCCCCACGTGCTGTGCCCCACGTGCTGTGCCCCACGTGCTGTGCCCCACGTGCTGTGCCCCACGTGCTGTGTCCCACGTGCTGTGTCCCACGTGCTGTGTCCCACGTGCTGTGTCCCACGTGCTGTGTCCCACGTGCTGTGTCCCACGTGCTGTGTCCCACGTGCTGTGTCCCACGTGCTGTGTCCCACGTGCTGTGTCCCACGTGCTGTGTCCCACGTGCTGTGTCCCACGTGCTGTGTCCCACGTGCTGTGTCCCACGTGCTGTGTCCCACGTGCTGTGTCCCACGTGCTGTGCCCCACGTGCTGTGCCCCACGTGCTGTGCCCCACGTGCTGTGCCCCACGTGCTGTGCCCCACGTGCTGTGCCCCACGTGCTGTGTCCCACGTGCTGTGTCCCACGTGCTGTGTCCCACGTGCTGTGTCCCACGTGCTGTGCCCCACGTGCTGTGCCCCACGTGCTGTGCCCCACGTGCTGTGCCCCACGTGCTGTGTCCCACGTGCTGTGTCCCACGTGCTGTGTCCCACGTGCTGTGTCCCACGTGCTGTGTCCCACGTGCTGTGTCCCACGTGCTGTGTCCCACGTGCTGTGCCCCACGTGCTGTGCCCCACGTGCTGTGCCCCACGTGCTGTGCCCCACGTGCTGTGTCCCCACGTGCTGTGTCCCACGTGCTGTGTCCCACGTGCTGTGTCCCACGTGCTGTGTCCCACGTGCTGTGTCCCACGTGCTGTGCCCCACGTGCTGTGCCCCACGTGCTGTGCCCCACGTGCTGTGCCCCACGTGCTGTGTCCCACGTGCTGTGTCCCACGTGCTGTGTCCCACGTGCTGTGTCCCACGTGCTGTGTCCCACGTGCTGTGCCCCACGTGCTGTGCCCCACGTGCTGTGTCCCACGTGCTGTGTCCCACGTGCTGTGTCCCACGTGCTGTGTCCCACGTGCTGTGTCCCACGTGCTGTGTCCCACGTGCTGTGTCCCACGTGCTGTGCCCCACGTGCTGTGCCCCACGTGCTGTGCCCCACGTGCTGTGCCCCACGTGCTGTGTCCCACGTGCTGTGTCCCACGTGCTGTGTCCCACGTGCTGTGTCCCACGTGCTGTGTCCCACGTGCTGTGTCCCACGTGCTGTGCCCCACGTGCTGTGCCCCACGTGCTGTGCCCCACGTGCTGTGTCCCACGTGCTGTGTCCCACGTGCTGTGTCCCACGTGCTGTGTCCCACGTGCTGTGTCCCACGTGCTGTGTCCCACGTGCTGTGTCCCACGTGCTGTGTCCCACGTGCTGTGTCCCACGTGCTGTGTCCCACGTGCTGTGTCCCACGTGCTGTGTCCCACGTGCTGTGTCCCACGTGCTGTGCCCCACGTGCTGTGCCCCACGTGCTGTGCCCCACGTGCTGTGCCCCACGTGCTGTGTCCCACGTGCTGTGTCCCACGTGCTGTGTCCCACGTGCTGTGCCCCACGTGCTGTGTCCCACGTGCTGTGCCCCACGTGCTGTGTCCCACGTGCTGTGCCCCACGTGCTGTGCCCCACGTGCTGTGTCCCACGTGCTGTGTCCCACGTGCTGTGTCCCACGTGCTGTGTCCCACGTGCTGTGTCCCACGTGCTGTGCCCCACGTGCTGTGCCCCACGTGCTGTGTCCCACGTGCTGTGTCCCCACGTGCTGTGTCCCACGTGCTGTGTCCCACGTGCTGTGTCCCACGTGCTGTGTCCCACGTGCTGTGTCCCACGTGCTGTGTCCCACGTGCTGTGTCCCACGTGCTGTGTCCCACGTGCTGTGTCCCACGTGCTGTGTCCCACGTGCTGTGCCCCACGTGCTGTGCCCCACGTGCTGTGCCCCACGTGCTGTGCCCCACGTGCTGTGTCCCACGTGCTGTGTCCCACGTGCTGTGTCCCACGTGCTGTGTCCCACGTGCTGTGTCCCACGTGCTGTGCCCCACGTGCTGTGCCCCACGTGCTGTGCCCCACGTGCTGTGTCCCACGTGCTGTGTCCCACGTGCTGTGTCCCACGTGCTGTGTCCCACGTGCTGTGTCCCACGTGCTGTGCCCCACGTGCTGTGCCCCACGTGCTGTGTCCCACGTGCTGTGCCCCACGTGCTGTGTCCCACGTGCTGTGTCCCACGTGCTGTGTCCCACGTGCTGTGTCCCACGTGCTGTGCCCCACGTGCTGTGTCCCAAGTGCTGTGTCCCACGTGCTGTGCCCCACGTGCTGTGTCCCACGTGCTGTGTCCCACGTGCTGTGCCCCACGTGCTGTGTCCCACGTGCTGTGCCCCACGTGCTGTGCCCCACATCTTGTGCCTCACTTGAAGCACATCTCGATCTTATTAGAGCAACTGCTGGCTTACTTCTCCCTCAGTCGCTGCACTGCCTGGGCATTCAGGCTCTGGATGTCCCACCCGTCCTCTTCCTCACTGCTTCTCCTCCATCAACCCTTCCTTTCCCCCATCCTCTGTGCGCCCCTGCTGCCAGCTGGAGGACCTCCCCCCATCGCTGCGCCGCCTGAGCATCCAGGCACTTGATGTCTTGGATTGACAATGGGAGTTATCACAAGTCGACCCCCCCCTTCCCCACCCCATTTCCCCCCGCCCCCCTCGCACACACCCCCGCTGCCAGCTGAAGGACCTCCCCCCATCGCTGCGCCGCCTGAGCATCCAAGCTCTTGATGTCTCCGACAATGACCTCCCCACCCTGCCCGCCTGGCTCGGTATGCCCAACCTGCCCACCTGGCTCGGTATGCCCAACCTGCCCACCTGGCTCGGTATGCCTAACCTCCCCACCTGGCTTAGTATACCCACCCTGCCAGTCTACCTTGGCATCACATTATTACTGCGTGCTGCTGTATTGTGTCAGCTACCTCCTAGAAAAAACATGAGTCAAGAACATGCAGTGGTGTTGAGCCAATCAGGAGCAATCAAACAGCGCAATGAGCCAGACACACCCGCGCCACCCCCTGCATGCATTCATCATCCCGGTCCGTCCTTCAGGCAGCATGACATAACTTTGTCTGTGTCGAGAAGTTCTTGACACAAACATGCACTGATGTTGGTTTATTTTGAGACATGCCGACACGCCACGGCACGCTCATCGACTCTCAGCTCTCTGACTTTCGAGGCGCCTAAAAAATCTCCTCACTCTCATCCTTTCCCGTCCTTCAGGTAGCATGACATTGCTGCAGAGGGTTGCAGCAGCAGGCAATCCTCGGTGATTAGCTAGTGTTTAGTGTTTTACACACTGTCTTTTCCTACTTGCTTAAACCTACTCCTACGCAAGTGCAGCTCACTGGAAAATGTCCCAAGATCTCTCATCCCTTCCCGTCCTTCAGGGAGCATGACATCGCTGCAGAGGGTTGCAGCAGCAGGCAATCCCATCAGAACAATCCGAAGGTATAAATCCCCACAGTCGAATCTCTGCATCGTCGCTTTTGGCTTTCCTGGCACATGATTATCAATGAGTTCTCCGTGGCCTCACCTCATTACGAGCCTCGTTAATAACCATGTTACCGCATCCCCTTTTCCCTTCATCCCTCATCCTCTCACGCTCTTGTCCCCTCATCCCCTCAACCCCTCAACCGCCCCCCTTCATCACAGCACGCTCATCGACGGCCCTGCCAGGAATTCCTGGACTACCTGCGATCTGAGTCAACCCTAAACACACCATATGTGCTTTGAGTCGACCCAAAACACACCATGCCATGCCCCTCATCCCCCTCAACCTCCCCTCCCCTTCACAGCACGCTCATCAACGGACCGGCCAAGAACCTCCTGGACTATCCGCGCTGTCGCCTCCCTAAACACTCCATGTGTGTTCTTTTGAGTCGACTCAAAGCACACGATGCCCTCTTAATCCCCCTCAACCTCCCCCCCCCCTCACAGCACGCTCATCAACGGACCGGCCAAGAACCTCCTGGACTATCCGCACATCGCCTCCATTTGCTTCCTTCGCCTCATCACCTCATCCTCTCATCCCCTGATCCCCTCAACCTCTCCCCCACAGCACGCTCATCAACGGACCGGCCAAGAACCTCCTGGACTATCTCCGCTCTCGCCTCCCTGCTGCTTCCGCTGATGACCATGATTCAGGTGCGACCTGCCTCAGATACGACCTGCTCTTCATGCGACTTGCCTCAGATATGACCTGCTCCAGCCATTACCTTATCCTCACGGCCCCAGACATGAGCCTTCTCCGTGGTTACATTCGCTCTTGTCTGCCTAAGTACGCTTCTTACATGTTCTACAATGTTTCAACAACCTTTCACAGTGTTTAGTCTGCCTGTGTGCCAGCTTGCTACCTGCCCTTGCAATGTTCTGCAATGCTTTTTTGAAGCTCCCAAGCTACCAGCCGGCTCCCAGCCTGCTGCCAGCCTGCTCCCAGCCTGCTCCAAGCCTGCTCCCAGCCTGCTGCCAGCCGGCTCCCAGCCTGCTGCCAGCCTGTTCCCAGCCTGTTCCCAGCCTGCTCCCAACCTGCTCCCAGCCTGCTCCCAACCTGCTCCCAGCCTGCTCCCAGCCTGCTGCCAGCCTGCTCCCAGCCTGCTGCCAGCCTGCTGCCAGCCCTGTAAACCCTGCAGTGTTTCGGCACCACTGTTCAAAGGACCTGTGCTTCCTTACCCCCCTTTGTTGAACTTGCATTCCACCATTGAATCCACATCTGTTTTGAGACGTCTCAAAACAGTTGTTTTATCACATGGCTTTTTGGCACCACTATTCTCGCAGCCTGTGATGCCTTTCCCCCCTTCGTTCCACTTGCATTCCACCACTGAATCCACATTTGCAAACTTTCCTTGTCCTTGGAGAAAAATATATTTTGACGGAACTTCAGTTTTTTCCTTTCCTTGTCTCCTTTCTGTCTAGTTTGTTTTGGACAATATTCAAAGCTATAGTTATTTCGACAGTCTTTCTCTTTTCCTTTTCCTCCTCTCCTCCCTGTCTCCTGCTCCTCACCAGATACTGCCAGCGCTGCTGCATCTGCTGCACTGCGTGAGCTGGCTCTAGAATCACCACCGGCTGCTGCTGCTGCTGCTGATGCTGCACCTGCTGCTGCTGCTCCTGCCGCTGCTGCTGCTGTGACTGCTGCTGAGGCTGACTCGGTGCCACAGACTTTGCAGTCAAGGCAGTGCGAGGAGATGAAGAGCGGATTAGGAGACAGGGTGGAGAGAGCAGGAGGAATGGAGGGAGGGGTAGAGGGGGAGGGGGGTGCGGTGGCGGCCGCAGAAGCAGCAATGGTAGAGCCATGGTTGAGAGAGTGCTTTGAGGGAGGGGTGAGTAATCTATCCATCAGGATGAGGGATAGGGGTGGGGGGAAAGGGGCTCTTTGGGATGTCATAATAAAAAAAAGCCCCTTTCACTAAGAAATCTTGCTGGAATTTTCTTCCTTATTCAGAGTGATCTTTGTACATTGCACAGCATGATTGAAATGGGAACAAATTTAACCAGCTAACGAACTCTCGTCGCTCCTTTCCCTTCCATCCCATCCTTCCCTTCCTTCCCCTCCTTTCCCTCCTTCCCCTCCTTCCCCTCCTTCCCCTTCCATCCCCTCCTTCCCCTCCCATCCCCTCCTTCCCCTCCCATCCCCTCCTTCCCCTCCCATCCCCTCCTTCCCATCCTTCCCCTCCCATCCCCCCCTTCCCATCCCATCCCCTCCTTCCCATCCTTCCCCTCCCATCCCCTCCTTCCCTTCCCATCCCCTCCACAGACTCTCCAGCTGTCAAAGAAGGGCTTAGCAGAGCTACCACATGGCATCGTGGCATTGGCTGCGGGTGACATCCCTCTGACGTCCATCAACGCCTCTCACAATGCTGTCACCTCGCTGCCCTCCTTCCTATCAGCTTGCACCTCCCTCACTGTAAGCAAGCAAGTCTCCTTGTGAAAGTCGACTGTTTATTTAAATGTAAACCACAACCCGGTCATCTTGCTGCCCTCCTTCCTATCAGCTTGTACCTCCCTCACTGTGAGTATGCAAATCGTTTTCCAAGTCCTCCCGGCTTGCACCTGATTCACTTTGATAAGAATAGAGGCGAGTCTACACATACGATATCAGCTTGGTTGAACTCTAGGTTGCAAGTCCGTTGCTTGCTTTAGTCAGCTTTTCGTGTGCAATAGAGTGTTGTCTCCTTCTTGATGTGACTTTTCTTCCTGCAATCGTTGTTTCTCCTATGTCCACTCCACATCACATGTCTCACCATCACATGCCTCACCATCACATGCCTCATCGTGCAACTTCCGAGTCATTGCGAAGTCACAATGTTCCCCACCGCCATGCCCCCCGCCATGCCCCCTGCCATACCCTCCGCCATGCCCCCTGCCATACCCCCCGCCATGCCCCCTGCCATACCCCCCGCCATGCCCCCTGCCATACCCCCCGCCATGCCCCCTGCCATACCCCCCGCCATGCCCCCTGCCATACCCCCCGCCATGCCCTTACAGGAGCTAGACCTGTCGACCAATAAGATTGCAGCCTGGCCTTCTCTCGCCCTGCGCTCGCTCCCATCGCTCCGCACCCTCTCCCTCGCCAACAACCCCGTGGGGCAGGTGAGGCTGGGGCAGGTGAGGCTGGGGCAGGTGAGGCTAGTGGGCTTGAAAGAGCCTGCCCTTCACTGTCGAGCTTTCTCCCTTTGCTGACTTCTTCCCTCCCAACCTCCCCTGTCCCTTTTCATCACTCCCCACCCCTCCAGGCTGCCCCACCCCACCCCAGGCTTCATCGCTCCCCATCCCTCCAGGCTGCCCCTGACAGCACCACAGGACATCGCCTCACTGTACCACCAGAATCTCTCCTGCTGCTGCTCGCCTTCCTCCTCTTTGTTCCCTTCATCCATCTCCCTCCTCCTCTCCCTTCCCTCCCTCCCCTCCTCTCCAGATGCCCCTGACAGCACCACAGGACATATCCTCTTTACGATACCTGAACCTCTCCTGCTGCTGCTCGCCCTCCTCCCCCTTGTCCCTTCATCCATCTCTCTCCTCCCTTCTCCTCTCCCATCCATCCCTTCCCTCTCCTCCAGCTGCCCCTGACAACGCCACAGGACATCTCCACGTTGCAGTGCCTGAATCTTTCCGGCTGCTGCTCGCCCTCCTCCGCGCCACTGCTACCACCCTCCTTCTCCCTGGCCGCCCTTCCACGCCTCACAGAGCTGCACCTCAGGTAGGGAACATGCAAGGCCCTCTCTGGCCTGCCTACTGAGTTGATTGAAAAGTGATAAGTCGACTTAAAGGGCGTCTCCTCCCCGCTACTGCTCGCACCCTCCTCTTCTCCCTGGCCGCCTTTCCGCGCCTCACAGAGCTGCACCGCAGGTACACAAAAAACACCCTTCGACTTGACCTTTTGACAAAGGTCTAAAAGGTCCTCAAGGCTCAGCTCAAAGGTCTTCTACCTTTGAGCTGCACCGCAGTTACACAAAATACTCAAAAGTCGACTCAAAGCTCTACTCAAAAGTGTTTCTCCCTAAGCTGTAGCCTGCACCTCGGGTGGAGGAAGGGCAAAGCTGGGTGTTTGAAGAAGTGTTTTGAGACGTCTCAAAACACTTCTTCAAACAGTGTTTCTCCCTAAGCTATAGCCTGCGCCTCAGGTAGAGGAAGGGCTAAGTTGGGAGTTCTGAAAGGTTCCCTCTAAAATCTCCTCAGGTAGAAACGTGGCAATGTCGGGACAATGTCCCTCAATGTTTAGCGTGAAAGGGAACACTGTCGTCTATCTGCCCTCCCTCCAAACTTTGGCTCTTTCCAGTCATTGTACCACATGGCACCGCACTGAACTGCATCTTACCTCCTCTCATCCCTTTCCACTTCCCTTGTCCGCCAGGGGCAATCGCCTTACTGCCTTTCCCGCAGGCTTTGACTCTCTCCCCTCCCTTCGAGTCCTCAATCTCTCACAGAATCAAATCGAATCCATACCCGTTGTAAGCTGGCCTCGCCACTCTGCTATAAGCACCACCGTCGCACCTAAGAGATCCACACTTTTGTGTCTCTCTACAGGCACACCATACTGTTCGCCTTATAAGCACATCTTGTGCAGTTCCTCTGTGTCTCGTTGTGCTGATTCCTTGTAATTCACTAGCTAGATCCTGCACTTTCAAATGATTTTCGTATCTTTGTAATGATGTGTAACCCGATAAAGTGCAAACCCATTCACCACCTGAAACCACTCCAGGAAGTGACCCGGTTGACCCGATTGGAGTCGCTCGACGTTTCAGACAACAACATTCCCATGCTGCCTCCCAAACTTGTAAGTCTGCTTTGTTGCAGGCAGGTCTTTAGTCTGTTTTGTTTTCTATCTTTCAAAAATCGCAACACTCTTGACGTGTCGGACAACAACATTCCCATGCTGCCTCCCAAGCTTGTGAGTCTGTTCTGCTGCAGCTGTTTACTCCGTTTTGCTGTGAGGCTGTTTTGAGAATTTTCCAAAAACACAACGCTCTCGATGTATCGGGCAACAACGTCCCCATGGTGACCCTCGATCGTGTGAGTCTGCTTCTCTCACCTCACCTTCCCTGCTGCTGCCGCTGCTCCTGCATCCACTGTTGACAATGTCTGTGCCACTGCGACTGCATCTGCTGCTCTTGCTGCTCCTGTTCCTCCATTTCTTGTGGTGAGTCGACTCAATTACCCGCTAGTTCTTATGTTGCTGTTGCTTCTGCTGCTGCTGTTCCTGCAGTGTCTATTCTCTCTCTCAGAGTGGTTTCAAGGACTGTATAAGCAAAGCCGACCACTTTATTCTTCCATGGTTTGCTGATGTCTCCCTAGCTCCCTCACCCTCTCATTCACCTGGTAATGTAAACAATCCCAATCATGCGTGTGCCAAACCCTTTGGTCTTGGTTCCAGTTTTGAGGCGCCTCAAAACTAGGCTCCCTCACCCTCACACTCACCTGGGTTACATAAACAATCCCAATCATGCGTGTGCCAAATCCTTTGTACTGGGTTCCACACCCCCCCTGCCTTACTTTTGTTCTCCTCTCAATCCATTCAGGGCTTGATGAAGACTCTCTCTCTCCTTCGAGTCGACGGCAACCCCATTCGCACGTGAGATGCTATAAACTAAATGCACGCCCTTCTTGAAGCACTTTGGATTGTAAGCGCATCGAAGATGGCATGGGCTCTTGGTCATTTTTAGGCTCGTTACACCAATAATCATCCCTTGTGAAAAGATCTATTGCAACACGTGAGATCGCTGCTTGTCAAAAGAGCTATTGCAACACATGAGATCGCTGTTTGGGATGCGTAATTTTCTATTACAGCCACATCTTAAAGTTGCGTTTTTGCACGCCCCTTTTTTCACTTGCCTGTTATTCGGGGCTTACTTGATCTTGCCTTCCCATTGTTCCATACCCCCTCTGCTCCCTCTAATTGTGTATCTAAAAGACCCTGCAGGTTTACCTCATCTTGCCATCTTGCCCTCTGTTCCAAACCCCCTCTCTGTCCTTCCCATGCCATTCCATGCCCTCTCTCTCTCTCTGCAATCTCACATGTGCCTCCTGTACAACAAGCAGTATCAGGTGGAGCATCATAAACGGTGGCACCAAAGCGCTTCTGGCATACCTTGAAGACCGCATCCCTGCTTGAAGTCACCCCCTTATGCCCCACCCTCCAGAAAAAAAAAAAAAACACAAAAAAAAACAAAAAACAAGAAACAAGAGAGAAATAGCAAATTGTATACAAAATGTGGAAGTGTGACATTCCTGAGGTGCATGCACGAGACCCCCATACCCCGCTAGCATGTGCCGAAGCCATGTGCATGATCGCGTCAACCATCCTAGGTCCTGGGCATATGGCTGCCTCCAGTGTGTGGCCAGTCTATGAAGGAGGAGTGCTGCCCCCAACCGAGCTACCTCACATATCAATCAAGCATGCTCTAGCATGTGTGATGGCTCTTTAGAAAGTTCAGATTGAAGTTGTGAATCCCGTATCCCAAAATCAGTATGTTTTCTCCGTTGTGCTCAGCTAGTCATTTCACCGCTTACTTTTTTTACAGAATGTTACATGACCTTTTTAGTGCGTGTATTCCGAAAGCTAAAGTTGTCCGGACCGCAAATATGCAAAGTTAATGAGTTATTCCCACTCACAAATTTAGAGTTTAGGCAAGTAAAACACATTTCCTAGTGCTGGATGCCGTTTATTTGCCACCTGAACGTCTCTTCTTAGCTTGATGTCGTTCTGATGCGCTATCCACTTCAAGTAGCCTCTTACGACACGATAGCACCTCCAATCACGTGTTGTGGGTAAAGAATAACGAGGACGGAACCTGGTCCTCCTGAGAACCAGCAACAGCTTGATTCCAGTCCAGCTGACTCGGTCAGTAAGTGAGGAGGCCTGACTTCGCAATCCCAGCAGCAAAATTGCTTTGCCTGTCAGATCTTCACTGGCGCGTCCAAGTGCTGCGCAATTTTTTTTTTTTTTTTTTTGCGGAATAGTCAATGAGTCTCCACTTAGCATCTATCTCAAATTAGTAGTAGTGAGGGATATGGAAGTGGAAACATGGACGGGAAAGGAGGACGAAATAAAAATCTAACAATGCGTGAGGAGCACGGCGTGCTGCAAATTGGGCTTCGATAATACTCGTTTTCAGTTTTAAATGAAAGAAAAACGGAAAACGCAGCCTCAAGAACACCCCAGTAGAACAGCACATAAGGAACCCCAAAAGACACCCCAACGAGATACCCCCAACGAGACACCCCAACGAGACACCCCAACGAGACACCCCAACAATACGCCCCATCTAACCAAACCCCCCACCCCCCTCACCTAAACCCACCCTCTAAACCCGCATGTCCACCAAATAGGGCGCATCCGCCCACGGAGCATCCCATCCCATCTCCTCCTCAAAATCCTCCCGCTCCACCGAAACAGCCTCTGGGCCTCTCATCATCGACGCCGCGCGCAACAAGATCACACGCGCCTGAGCCCGCTGCAAAGCCACACCTATGGCCGCTTTAAGTGATCCAAGCAAGTAAGCCGAGAAACCTTTCCCCGTAGCTCTCGCCGCCCCTTTCGTCTTCGCTACCTCAATCTGCGCGTCGCCCTGTTTCTTAAGCCACCGCCCAAAACTCCCCCCCAGGCAACCCCATGTCTCAGCAATGAGAGGTGTAAACTGCACTCCCCTATGTCGCTGCAGAAGCAATTTGTAGTCCGCCGCCTTCCGCTTTTCCCTCTCTCTAGCGGCAAAACCCACCTTGCGACCAATCTGTCCATGGTGCTGCGCGGACAACGAGATAGGGTCCACCACACTAACCTCCAGCGCATGCTCCTCCCCCTCCCTCATCCACCGCACCGCCACATCCACCCTCTTCCCTGGCAGCAACGTGTCGTCTTCCATGGTCACGACCCCACCCGCCCCTTTAGCTATCTTCGCCACCACAAACTTAACCGCGTCGTGAACACGAGAAGGTGCGTACTGGTACTTGCAGCGAAGGGCATGATGCGGGTCAGAGGGATCAGCAAACTCAAACCCACACGCGCACTTGCCGGCGACTATCAGCTGCTGTATGGGGAGGCCTAGGCGCATGGACGCACAGATGCTCCACTCGGCTGCGGTGAAGGTAGCCTCTTCGTGCGAAGGGACGGCGGAGACCCACGCCCCTGCCCCCGGGCCCTGAAGGGATGTCAAACGGGCCATGGTGGCGTCGTCGTGGGCCATACCCCGAAGAGTCTGCAGACTCTCAACCGCTAGGCGACGGTGTTGTGTGGGGAAAAGCAGCACAGGGGGGTCAGCGGTGCATAAGGCTAGGGGTGGCATCTCCTGCCTGACCGACTGTGGCAGCAGCTCCACTGCTCTCGCAAACCAAGGATCCAGCAAGGTCGTAGCCTCGGGCGTGCGGAAAAACTCCTCAAACATCCGTTCCTCCCCTGCCACCCCCATCCGAGCCACATCGCTCACTGCCTGGCACCAACCACATGCGTACGACAGAGGGCTAAGGTCAGCTGCAGATCGAATGCCAAACCCTCCAAGTCTGGCTGGAAGGTGCAGCTGTAGACGGGCCATCTGCGACCTTGCCGAATCATGATCCCATGTGCTATCTGGAAACAGCTGCTCAAAACAATCCTCAAGCTTCGTGTCCCAGTCGCGGAAAGCCTCCACAACCTCAGGCCGTGGAGGCATCGTCCTTGTGAGGTAAATCGGGCGCGCTGACACTGCGATCGCCAGCAGATGGGACGCAATCTGTGGGTGGTCGAGCAAAGGAAGCCAAGGGACAGGTGCATGCAGCTGCATCAGCCGGCCTCGCAAGCTGGCCACCTCCCACTCCTCCTCCCCAATAGGAACCCCCACTACGGTGAGCCCCGTCCATGTTTGCTGCATGCCGGGCGGGACGGTCTCGTTCCTCTCCTCTCCCTCCTGGTCCACCCCTCGCTCCCAAAGCTTGCACTTATGCGGCTGCACCTCCAGACCAAGCCCGCCCAGTCGTTCCCGCAAGACCTCATAAGCTGCTAGCACCCGCTCCCTAGGCCCCAAGATGTACGTATCATCGGCGTAGCTGAGAAAGAGTAGGTCGGCGAATTCTTGTTTGGTGGGCTCCATAACCAGCTGCTGTGTGAACGCGAACAGAAACGGCCCCAATGGGTCCCCTTGCCTCGATCCTCGCTCTGAAGCCAAAGCTTCGACGAAGGGGCCCGCACGGAGGTAGAGGTCGCTAGGAGTGCCGTAGAAGACACGCAGGAATGGGATCAAACCCGCAAAAGGCGACTGTCGAAGTCCTTCAAACATTTCCCGCCGATGGAAGGAGTTGAAAGCATTCGCCACATCAATTTGAAGCGCGCACCATGACGGGTGAGTAGAGATGGCAGAACGAAAGGCATGTGCGAGGACTTCCACTCCCGACCTGGATCCGACTCCTAGCTGGTTACACGGCGCAAAGTGCGACATCATCTTCGGCCGAAGCACGATGCATAGGGCCCGAGATAGTATGCGGGGGAGCACCTCGCCTATAGCCACCGGGCGAACGTCACCATTCGGCTTCGACAGGCCCACAAGGTTGGACGCAGTGAGCCAGGGTCGCACGCGCTCCGCTACCTCTCCCTTGGTCCACTGGGTGAAGACTCCTAGCAGGTGAGGCAGGTATGCGGGCTCAGAGAGAAAAGTGTCGCGCAGGTGCTCCGTCACCCACCCCGACGGTCCTGGTGCCGACGCCCTAGCCGCAGAGTGGATCGCCTGACCAAGTACCTCCACTGAGAGCTGCGGGATAAGGGAAGGCTCAACTATCTCCTCCTGCAACCACTCCGGAATGGCGGTCTCGCTCGATGGGTGTTTCGCTCGCAGCGCGTCCACCATGTGCTGAGAGGGCTGAGCGATGCTACCGGCAGTAAGACACGCCAAACCCCGACTCCATTCTCCCACTTTGCACCTTGTGCGGCAGCGAGCCAGGCGCACCGCATCAGGATCATGCTCGGGGGGGGTGAAGGACAAAGGACGCGCCGCAGGTTGCATTACCGCCACCGCCAACTCAAACAGCTCCCGCCACTCCCCGACCCAAAACTTCTCCAACCGCTCCCTGATTGCCGCCCTATGCCCCTGGCCTTGCCCAGTTGGCATCCCCAAGATAAGACGAGGGAAGGCCAAAAAGACCAAGGACGCCGCCTCGTCTGCTGCCTTTAACTGTAGCCGCTTCAGGACACAAGACAGTGCATCAAGCACCCCCAATCTAACGCGCTGTGGGATACGACGCATGATTCTCCCTGGCACCAATTCGATCCCAAAAAACGACTCCCAGTCCCATGTAGGAACTGCGGCCCATACCTCTTCACTGATATCACGTGGTGGCGGGGGTTCGCCGTCCGAGTCATCTGTGACGTCGCGGGTCAACCCAAGCGCCTGAGCACGACGCTGGGCGTCCGCTGCCCTGCAGGCCGACATATGGCGTGTGGCCTTTCCTCTCTCCGTGAACGTGCGATAACAGGTTTCGCACGGAATGCGGGGCGGGGGTGTCAATGTAGGGTCTGGGTGCTCCTCTCCACTCGAACACGCCGGCAAGACCCTCCTGCTAGACTCCGTCTCCATGCCCCCCTCTAACGGCCTTGCAAGCTCCATCCCTCCGCACTGCAGCTGCTGCTGCCCTCCGCTCTGCAACTGCTGCTGCAATTTTTTTTTGATGGAGCTACAGTTCGGCCCCCTCTTTCAAATAAGGGGCTACAGTAAACTAGCCAATAAACTGGATGGATGGATATGGCATGTGAAAAAAGCTCGATCGTTGACATAAAAAATAGAATTCGTGAAACGCACATCCCAGTTGCCGAAGCACATGGACACACCGCTGCTCATAATGGAGCCGCAATCTTCTACATCGAGTCGCGTCTGGGGGGAAATCGCACGAAATTCTCGTTCAGCCAGCAAACACATGTCTGGCACCTGCTTCAGGTGAGGACGTGCTGATACGGCTCACTCAGGTTCCTCACGTTTTAGAGCACTAAAATGCTTATACAGATCGGTTGGACAGGGTTTAGAGAGACATCATGCGCTGCATATTTCTTCTCACAACCACAGATGAATTGGCAGGATGAACAGTATTTTTATTAGCTCAGTCTTGAAACTGCTGTGGTAGGCACAAGGACAGCAAACCAAGCAAGGCGTGAAAGTCGAGCCATAGGAGGGGGGAGGGAGCGAGAGATTTGCCGATTGCTGCTGCTACGTTGTCGCGTTAGGCCGAAAGGACTCTTTCTTGAAAGAGGCACCACTACACCTACTGCCACTCACGTTAGCCCACACACGGTACGGTAGCACCACGCACAACTTGTGCAGTCGCGGTCTCCAAGTTGAAGTCTCAAATGCCAGTCACGATGTCTTCTTCTAACTTCAACACGCATGACTGACCATTGCTTGTCGTAGTGAGGCCGCAATGCTCCCAGTAGCTTCTGTTGATACCGTCAGCAACGTCAGGCTAGCGTATCGGGAGGCTAACGTCAAGCGTCATATTACCGTCAAAGCTAGGGAACTCAACATATCGTCAAGTTAACGTCGAGCTTAGAATCAATTGCTTACCAGTCCGTTGACGCGCGTCACGTCACGGCTCCTCCAGCTCACAGTCATCATGCCGACGCGCGCCCAGGGTCCCGTGGGCCTCGCTCAGCAGCACATGAGTTTCGCGCCGTTTCAGCCGCTCGAGGCTACTACGGCGAGCGTTGAGACGTCTCAAAACCCCGTATTAGCAGGCTTCGCCCAACAGCGGACGGGGTTCGCTCCGTTTCAGCAGTCGCCAATCTCACGGCATCACAACGCCGCCGCCTTCGGTACCGTACCGCGCACAGGCTCTCATTCGCCGCGGCGCCAGCTCGAAGCGCTCGCGCCTCCGAAGGCCTCGTGCGGCTCGAGTCCAGCGAGAATTCCCGCCGCGTGCTTCCGTGCCGCGCAGAACCCGTGCGGCGGAAGCTCCTCCGCGTTTCCCCCGCGGTCCGCGGCGCTGGAGTCGGGCCAAGGGACCCCCATGGGCTCGAGTTTCGAGACGAAGCAGAATGTGGGCGGAGGGATTCTCACGGGCCCGCTAGGAATGCCGCTGCCTGTGGGAATTGGATCGTCGCGGCTGTCGTTCACCGGCGCGCCTCAGCCCGGCGCGCCCTACTGCATCCCGGCGCTGTTGCAATCCGCGAGAAGCAGCGCGGCGGAGATGTTTCGCTTTCCGCGGTCGCCAAGTACGGATTCCGACGACCTTTATCCAGGTGAGTGTGCTGTTTTGGACGCTCTGTTCATGTCAGAATTACTTTTGCGTCGACTCGAGAGTCATTACACTCCGCGGTCGCCGAGTGAGGAATGAACAACCTTTACCCAGGTGTGTGTGTGTGTGTGTGTGTGTGTGTGTGTGTGTGTGTGTGTGTCTGTTGTTTTATTTCCTCCGCTTTCTTTGTTTCGAGTCCACCACATTATCCGTGTCTTCACGCGATCGGACGTAGCCAAAAAGTCGAAGTACAACCGTTTTCCAGCCTGCACTTCCGTCCAGGAGTCCTGCTCTAATTCAGTCCTGAACTTCAAATTTCCTGCTCTTCTTGAAATTCCCGATCTCAGATTCTTCGCAAGTGGACGTACCACGGCAAATGGCTGCTCCCGGCTTACCTCCTCCTCACTCGGTGGCTCCTCCTCACGCGACGCACCATCGCCGCTCGCGAAGCAGCATGAGCGACGAGCAGGCGAACAGGAACCCAGCGGGTTACCACCTCCGCGGCGAGCTCCAGCAGCAGCAGCCATGCGAGTACACCCACTGCCTCACCTGGCAGGGGGGGCCCAGGCGAGACAGCAACGAAGGAACAGGGCCAGTACCCCGTGTTACATCACATGACGCGCCAGGTGTAACCACCACTGGTGGTAACGCCACGGTGGCGAGTGTTTCAGCCAATCCGGGTGGTTTGGCTTCCGATAATCGAGGATCCGGGCGGCTGTGCAGGAGTGTTCAGGACGATGACGTGGCGGAGGGAGCGGCGCCGTGCCAGCGTGGCAAGCCGAGCGCGGAAGGGACGGAGAGGGAACGGGCGGCGTCTTCGCGCAGTGGCAGAAAGGATAGAACCTCTGGGAGGGCGAATGGAAAGAATGATTCAAGAGACCGCGAAGAGAATTCGACGGGGTTAGGAGGGGTAGGGAGGAGTGTGGCTGGGTCAGGGAGAAGATCTGGACGGCTGAGCAGGAATCTGGGGGACGATGAGGACGAGGATCAACGGTCAGGAAAGAGTGGGTCAGGGAGGCTTAGGATGAGCTTGGAGAACGACGACGTGGCGACCGGTGATGTCATGCTGCCACGTCAGCGTGGTTCGGCGGGGCTGTCCTCTGCGCGCCGCAATCCACCGACCCGCCACGCGAAGGGCGGCTCGGAAGGAGATGGAAAGCAGCCTGATCGAACCACACATGAAGGCACGAAAACTCAACTGGTCTCCAGGCGCACTCATCCAATCTCCCAAGGTCAAGCAAAGCCGAAAAGCCATGTTCAGCGATCCCTGGAGGAGGAGGACTGCGAGCACCGCAGCAGATCCCCCCGGGTGTCACTGACAGGCTCGGATTGCCCGCCATCGGCCTCAGAGCCTCGGGAACGCAGCAGCTTACGCAGTGTTGGTGTGGTTCCTGCTGGTAGTGCTAGCAGGTCAGGAGGATCCCTCCCCCGAGGAGATGGGGGAGCGTCTGGGGGGGGTGACGGTGCGAGCATACGGCAGGGCAGCAGGCTGAGCAGGAGTATGGAGAGGGATGGTGCTGTGGGAAGAGCTGGTGATGATGCTGCTGGTTCCCGGCAGAGCAGCAGGCTTGGAAGGAGTGTCGAGAAGGAGGGTGTGGCTTGCCAGCCAGGTTCGGTGGTTGGGAAGAAATCATCGACCCAGGGCGTCAGGTTCGGCGACGTGCATGGGACAGGTGTGGCATGCGAGCACGGTGTGGTTGGGCGTAGAGGTGTGCGCGGTGGGGAGAGGGGGGGAGAGCACCGGCGGGGAGGGGGAGGGCAAGAGAGGAGGCAACCAGTGAAACTGTGTCGGAGCTTGGATGAGGATGAGGATAAGGAGGTTGATGTTGATAGTGACAATGGCAAGGTTTCTCGTGAGAATGGTGTGTCATCAGGGAGGAGGCTGGAGAGAAACTTGGAGGAAGACGAGGATGGAGAGTGCACAAGAGGAGGTTCGGGCGAGGGTCGAAATCCCCGCAAAAGCCTTGAGCGTCACTTGTCGGATGACGATGATGAAGATGATGAGAAAAAGAGGGCAGTGGGTGGGAAGAGTAGAGGAGGTAGTAGACGTCATAAAGTAGCAAGCAAGGAAGTGGAGGGGCAAGCTTCGGTTGGAGCAGAAAAGAATATGCACAAATCTAAAGGGCTGTTGCACAAAATCTTCCAGAGGGACTAATTTTCATCCTTTCATGTTTCCTAGTTTGCACGGAGAACTGTTTAATTTATTTAACGTCAGAAGAGAATGGGGCCCCAGAACTTGGTGTTATGGAAGGTGTGATGGAAGAAGGGCCTATTAGAATGGATATAGTGAAGTGGCATCATTATGGATGTACTCTTGCGAGGAGGCTTATGTTATGTGTCATCGCCTTTAGGGAGCCAATGTCACAGATACTCTCGGTTTTCTGATTGGAGAGAAATTTGGTTTTGATGAAAGAGATGTGCATGCCACGTGTCAGTCGAGTGAAAACACTGATAGTCACGTCATGAAAATCCCTTGAAGCTGTCAAGCCCCAGTTTTTTTTAACAGCATTTTCTATTCCAGCTGAACGGTTTTTAACCAACGAGACTGTCAAATCGCACAAAAACTCTTGCCCTTCAGCTAAGTGTCAGCAGTCGGAAAGTTGAAGAAAGTGGATTATGTGTTTTCAGAATTCCATACTCACGCACAGATTTAGAAATGTTAGGAGGAACTAGGTCTGCACTAACAGAACCGCCAACCCGTGACCTGACCTCCACATCCATTCCCGACTTCTCCCTTTCCCTGATTTCATCGCTTTATGCTTTTCTGCAGACGCTCGAGCTTCCCAAAGTTGTCCAATCTCTCATTGCATCAGCCGAAGTCGTATTTTCAGCCATTCGTCAGCAGGCGGATCAGACACTACGGATAGTGCGTGATTGCTCGGTTTGCTAGTTATAACGGTTGGATCAGTGCTGCCTGTGTCGAGAATTGTTTTGCCCTTCGCTCGGCTTCGTCGCCTGATCTAGATCGTTATTTCGTCCTTGGGTTCAATTTCCCATGGCTACCACTTCGCTAACCGCGGCTCGCGTGCTGGCGTGCCCGTCACGCACGACCTCATGGCTCGCTCCTAAAGCCGCGCCACGTGTCGTCTGCGTGTCCGTCGGTCCTTCCTCCACCCCGTCCTCCTCTTCCTCGTCCTCCGCGTTTCCCGCCTCCGCCAAGTCCGGAAGCTGCTGCGGCTCGCCATCAACCGGATCCGTCTCCGCTTCAGCAGCAGCAGCATCCGCGGCGGTCACAGCCGCGCCGCCTGCCGCGTCAACCGCAGCGCCCGCGTCGCCGCAGCTGACTCCGTCGCTGACATCAGCAGCGAGCGATGCGGCGGCGTACGCAATTGCGAACCCGCCGAGAACGGACTGGACGAGGGACGAGATTCAGGCGATCTACTCGTCGCCTCTGCTCGACCTTATTTTTCACGGGGTACGATTCGTAAGGCCACGGTCTGTAAGGGTACGGTGCGTCTGGGTCAGGTCCAGTACGGTCCATAGAAGAGCTACGCCATGCTGAACCTCTGAGAACGGACTGGACGAGGAACGAGATCCAGGCCATCTACTCGTCGCCGCTCTTCGACCTTATTTTCCATGGGGTTCGGTCCTTAGGGGTTCGGTCCGTAGGGGTTCGGTCCGTATGGGTACGGTCCGTAGGGGCTCGGTCCGTAGGGTTACGGTCAGTTTGGTTACGTCCGTAGGAGTACGGGCCGTAGAAGAGGTACGGTTCGTAGAAGGGGGCAAGTGCGAAGCCGCGGAGATCGGACTGGACGAGGGACGAGATCCAGGCCATCTACTCGTCGCAGCTCCTCGACCTTATTTTCCACGGGGTACGATTCGTAAGGGCACGGTCCGAAGGGGTAATGTGCGTCTGGGTATGGTCCGTAGGAGTACGGTCCGTAGAAGAGGCACGCAATTGCGAACCCTCCGAGAACGGACTTGACGAGGGACGAGATCCAGGCAATTTGCTCGTCGCCGGTCCTCGACCTCGTCTTCCACGGGGTACGGTTCGAAGGGGTACGGTCAGTCTGGGTACGGTCCGTAGGAGTACTTTCCGTGGTAGAGGCACGGTTCGTAGAAGGGGTGCGCAACTGTAGATTGAAGCCGCGGCGATCGGACTGGACGAGGGACGAGATCCAGGTCGTTTACTCTTCGCCGCTGCTTGACCTTATTTTCCACGGGATACGGTCCGTAAGGATACGGTCGGTAGGGGTTCGATACGTAGGGGTACGCTGCTCTCCGTGAAGACTGGCGGGTGCTCCGAGGATTGCTCCTACTGCGCGCAGAAATGAGACGAGTTTTGAGTCGACTCAAAACTTGGAGGATTGCTCTCTGTGCTCTGAACGCCAACGTCCCTGGTTCCTCCCGTCGTCCCCATTATCCCCGCTACAGTCGCAGGTGCACCGCGCGGTGCACGGCAACAGGGAGGTGCAGCAGTGCACGCTGCTGTCCGTGAAAACCGGCGGATGCTCCGAGGACTGCTCCTACTGCGCGCAGTCGTCGCGCTACGACACCAGCCTGGAGCCGGCCAAGTTCATGCCGGAGGACGAGGTTATCAGCGCCGCGAAGAAGGTGAGCGGGGTTGTAATGGGTTGGGCTTATAGCGGGATGTGCTTGTAATGAGTTGTGCTTATAACGAGCGCAGTCGTCGCTACGACACCAGTCTGGAGCTGCGCAAGTTCATGCCGGAGGTGAGCGAGCCTATAACGGGTTGGCTGTTATAGAGCCATGCCTTAATGAGTTGTTCTCATAACGAATCGTTTTAGTAGCAAGCTGAACAGAAACCATGATGTAACACAAGCCTCGAACCTAGCGAGTTCTTAGCAGAAGGTGAAGCGGATTGGATGTTCTGGCACAATCCATTTAGTCCTTCACTCTCAACGTCCCACATATCATCTTCCGTGTCGTCCCAACCTCTCATCTCTCGTATCATGCCACCCTTCATCCCTCTTATCAGGCGAAGGAGAGCGGCAGCACGCGGTTCTTCTGCATGGGCACAGCGTGGCGTGGCGTGGTGCCACGGGGTTTGCTTCTGTGCCTGTGTGCCTGTGTGCCTGTGTGCATGTGTGCACGTGTACGTACTTGTGTGCTTGATGGCTAAAGTGCGTTGTGTGTCCCCTCCGCCCCCTCCGCCAGGCGAAGGAGAGCGGCAGCACGCGGTTTTGCATGGGCACGGCATGGCGTGGCGCCACGGGGCACACGGATGACTTCAACAAAGTGCTGGGCTATGTGCGCACCATCAAGTGAGTGGGCAGCAGAGTAATTGCGCGAGTGGGGCTTGGCAGTTTGCACAGCATCAAGTGAGTGAGCAAGTGGGCATTGGTGATTGTGCAGCAGTGTAAGTGCATGCATACATGATGTAGGGAGGGGTCACTCGGATGATTTCAACCAAGTGCTGGGCTATGTGCGCACCATCAAGTGCTGGGCTATGTGCGCACCATCAAGTGCTGGGCTGTGTGCGCACCATCAAGTGAGTGGGCGAGTGACCTGGTGTAAATCTTCTGTTGTTGTGGTAAGCAGAGGGAGTGAGCACGGAGCACCAAGCGCACAGAGTAAGAGCATGTGTGCAGGATTGGGGGCCACTTCGACGATTTTTACAAGTGCTGGGCTATGTGCGCACCATCAAGTGAGTGGGCGAGTGGGGCTTGGTGTGTGGGCAGGGAGTGGGTGGGGCTTGGTTGTGGGCAGGGATTGGGTGGGGCTTGGTGTGTGGGCAGGGAGTGGGTGGGGCTTGGTGTGTGGGCAGGGAGTGGGTGGGGCTTGGTGTGTGGGCAGGGAGTGGGTGGGGCTTGGTGTGTGGGCAGGGAGTGGGTGGGGCTTGGTTGTGGGCAGGGAGTGGGTGGGGCTTGGTGTGTGGGCAGGGAGTGGGTGGGGCTTGGTTGTGGGCAGGGAGTGGGTGGGGCTTGGTGTGTGGGCAGGGAGTGGGTGGGGCTTGGTTGTGCGCAGTGCAGCATCAGAGTGAGTGTAGGGGGCTTGAGTTGCGAGTTGCTTTGGCATACAGCAACCGAGAAAAAAAAAATGTGTTTTTGAGACGTCTCAAAAACACTCTTCTTTTTTTGGTATACAGCAACCGAGTAAAGAATTGTGTGCTGCACGGTGCGCGCAGGCAGTGCAGCTGGACATGGGCATGGGCTGACGCGTCGTCCCTCGCCCTCCACCCCCTTCCCCCCTCCGTCTCCCGCCTCCGTTCTCCCTCCACTCTACCCCTGCAGGGACATGGGCATGGAGGTGTGCTCCACGCTGGGGATGCTCACGGAGCAGCAGGTGGTGCAGCAGCTGACGCTCCCTCTCCCCCCACTGTATTTCTTTCCTCCCTCAGTCTCTTGCCATCCCAGGGACATGGGCATGGAGGTGTGCTGCACGCTGGGAATGCTCACGGAGCAGCAGGTGGTGCAGCTGAAGCAGGCGGGGTTGACAGCTTACAACCACAACCTCGACACCTCCTGCGAGTTCCTCCCCTTGCCTCCCCCCTTACCCTGTGCGTCCCGCGGGTTCCACCACACCCAACCCCTCTGTATTCCGCCACACCCAACCCCCGCGTGCTCCTGTGTATTCTCCCCTCCTCTCCCCCCTGAATGGTATCCCTCCGCTGCAGGGACATGGGCATGGAGGTGTGCTGCACGCTGGGCATGCTGACGGAGCAGCAGGCGGTGCAGCTGAAGCAGGCGGGGCTGACGGCCTACAACCACAACCTCGACACGTCCCGCGAGTTCTACCCCAACGTCATCAGCACGCGCACCTATGACGACCGCCTGCAGACCATTGCCTATGCGCGCAACGCCGGCATCTCCGTGTGCTCCGGTGAGTTCACCCGTGCCTGTGCCTCTGGTGCGTGGCGTCTGCTGCTCTTGCTTCTTCCGCTGCGCATGGTCTGGGGATTCCTACCTCATCTCTGTCCCCCTGCCTTCACTTCCCGTCTCCCCCCTTTCCCACCTCATCTCTGTGCCTTCACTCCCCATCCTCCCGTCTCTCCCCACCTTCCCCATCACCTGCACAGGAGGGATCATAGGGATGGGGGAGGCAGCGGAGGACAGGGTGGGGCTGCTCTATGAGCTCGCCACCATGCCGCAGCACCCAGAGAGCGTCCCTGTCAACCTCCTTGTGCCCATCCCCATCTCCCCTCTTCGCTCCCCTGCCGGCCCTATCCCTGTCCCCTTCCTCCAAACCCCCCCCCTCCCCTCCCTCTTCCCCCGTTGTCTGCATCCCCATCCCCTGTTTGTCCCTCCCCCAACCCGTCCATCACCCTCCCGCCTAAACCCAACAGGAGGGATCATAGGGATGGGGGAGGCAGCGGAGGATAGGGTGGGGCTGCTCTATGAGCTCGCCACCATGCCACAGCACCCGGAGAGCGTCCCTGTCAACCTCCTTGTGCCCATCCCCGGCACGCCGCTCGAGAGCCAACCTCGCGTGCCCGTGTGGGACGTGCTCCGCATGATTGCCACCGCCCGCATCATCATGCCGCAAGCCATGGTGCGCATGTCCGCTGGACGGCTCGGCTTGTCTGTAGCGGAGCAGGCGCTGTGCTTTTTGGCAGGTGCGAATTCGATTTTTACCGGGGAGCGGCTGTTGACGACGGCGAATAATGACAAGGATGAGGACGCAGAGATGTTTCAGCTGCTCGGGCTGCTGCCCAAGCCTGCCAATCTGTCCCTTTAGTGAGAGTTTTCTTATAAGAAAATATTCATTTGGATGTGTGGTGTATAGGGAACTGCTAGACCAGAGGATGCAATGCAGCGTGCGCTAGCAGCAACTGCAACTGCAGCCATTTAGTAGGATGGCGCTTGTGCTGCTCCTTTTGAACCTACTTACAGCGGAGAGCGTTGCATGATTTTTGTTGACATGGAATTTCGAGTTATATACAGCAAACTAATCATCTTGTACTGCACATGCCAAGGTGTTCCTTTCCTGAGAAGCAAGCCATCTCAAGTGATGCCCTTCATGTTGATATATTTCTGCAGGCTTGAAACCTGATGGTGCACAAGACTGGTTATTGTTGACAAACTGGTTTATTCAAGTCCACTGGTTATTGTTTATTGCTGTGTGTTTTGTATCCGTGTAGGTACCTTCTCTAATTGTGCGAGGAGGTGTACCCGTAACGGATGGACAGAATCGCATTTTTTAGGAGGGGGAACTCCAACTGTCTCGAGAAAAATTCAACCGTTTCCGAACCGCACGCTATGTTTCCAAGGTGCTGCTGTGGTGCTTATACCGCCCAGTGATTGGCCCCTCGATCTCGACGCGCTTCGATGTGCAGCCTGTCAGCCTGGCTCGAATTGTCCATCCCGCTAAACGTCACCTCGTCTGCTCGACTCCCAGACTTCTTCCATCCAACCACAACCACCTCCCACATGGGCTTGGCTCGCTCTCATTTCAATTCACACATCATCGGGTGAAAACAGTCATGCTTTCTCAGTGACTCTCATCCCACGACAACTGAAAAACGCCTGGACTTCCGCACTGTTTATGCGAATACATTGGGCTTGGCTAGCTTCAGTACATTGGGCTTTGGGGGAGTGTGCTTGAAACAAGAGATGATCGCCTGCTACAACTTGGCGGAAATTTTCTTCCACCCCTGCAAACGCCCATACACGGGAAGCTTGAAAGATTTGGGGGAGGCTTGACTTTATTCCGAATACAGCAGAGTCTGCTGCACGGGCTTAGTTGCGCCGTGGTTTGCATCTTTTAGGGTTGAAGAAATTCTAAATCTTTCACTCAAGGCATGCTAGTCTGTGTCCGACCTTCGGAAAAAAGATTGAGAGGCGTGGGAAACATAACCGCATCGGGCGAGCCCTTGCGAGGACCCCTGACATCACGCTGACCCGAGTCTCTCGATTCGATACAGTCCTATCCGCTCCCTGACCGCTGCCACTACTGAGCGGAAGACAAGCTTTCAGCGGCTTTGGAAGTTGGAACTTGCCTTTCGGCTGTGGGGGCTTTCACTGTGTGGGTGGGTGGGGAAAGGAGGTCTGGGGAAAGTGGGGTGGGGGGAAGAGACACGCCGTCGGCTCCCTCCTTCATGCTTTCCCTGCGCTGATGCTGCTGTTGCAACCCTGCTGACTGAGCATTTACAGGCTTTCAAGGAGTCAAGTTGACTCCATGACGTGCCTCCTCCCCCTCATCATCGCCCCCCATCCTCCAACCTCCCATCCCAACCTCCCCACCAACAGCTTTCGTTCGTCTCAATCGCTCAGATCGCCTCCCGTTGCAACAGCAGCCATCGAGGCTGATCTGAACTGAACTGAACTGAACTGAAACCCTCATCTGTCTCGTAGTAACAGCGAGTTTTGCGGCAATTGCGGACTGATTCAACTGCCGACGAATCTTGTGCTCGTCGCAAAAAAATAATCAGAATAGTAGATTTCGCCATGAATAGTACGACGCGCGTGTATGATGGTTCCGGTGCGGTTACAGAAACGGCCTCTGCTGCTGTTGCTGCTGGCGTTAGTAGGAGGCGGCATAACTCGCACGCTGCCGCAACCGCCCGACCGTCCAGACCGCCCGACCGTGCAGACCGCCCTGTGCCACGCGGTGCGTCGTCGCGTGATGTTGATGATGCTTCGGCTGCTCCCATCCCCGCCGTCGGTTCCGCTTCAAAACAGACCACAAGTAGTAGAAGCAGCAGCAGTTTGTAAAAAGATTCCGGAGCGGCTTCGACGGAAATCGTTCCAATTCCACGAGGTTACAGTCACAGCGCGAGAGCGACGACTGTTCGAGTCGAGAGCAACGGCAGTAGCAGCGGCAGACTGCAGCAACAGCAGCAGCAGCACCAGGGGGAGCAGGAGCAGGAGAAGTAGCAGGGCATCCCTCATGCATATGATTCAGAAGATTACTACTGCACCACAATCGCACGCTCCAGAATGCGTTTGCACTGCTGCAGCGCGGTATTAGTCACTACCGTCTCACGTCTAGAATCTAACATGATCTCGACACGATCGCCAGCTAGAGGCTGATTTTTTTAAACGGATTCACTACTAGCAGGCCTTCCAGATTCGGATGATGTCGACTAGTATGGACAATGACGCTCAAAATTACCACCGCCTATCAGTGCAGAGTTTATGGCATCGGCGGTTATTTCTATCTACTTCCACTAGCAGAGTCCGCCACTAGGGTACCTCAGCGGCGGTTAATTTGAAGCCTGAGTTGCCGCGCTCGTTGGCCTAAGAACTGCTTTGGTTCTGTGGTTCATAGCACTGGCTGTGATCCGTGTTTTAATGGCCAGTGTGACACACTGAGCCGCTGCCGCTGCCTCCTTTTTTTCCCGCCGATTCAGGTGCTTTTCCCTGCCAGTGGCGGTACTACTACTAGAACAAGACTTGCTCGTTGAGCTGCGTTTCTCTCATGAAGTTTCCCCTCAGAGCTTGATTCTCTGTGGAGCTCTCAGTCAGGTGCTAGTACTTATTAGCTCAAAATTGACAATACCTGAGAGAATTGCATGAATCTGAATTCGCAAACGATGGCCGCGATGGCCCTGAAAGACGCAGACACTTATGCGCTGATGTCTGGATAATCATCTGACGGCTGCAGCGCCGGAGATTAAGCTCCCGTAGATTGACTAACTGACTCAACGGCCTCGTTCTGCTCTCCAACGCGAGTTTTGCTTGATTCACGCTAATAGTGCAACGTGTGGTGGCAAAGCACAGCCTCATAATATTACCAGTTATCCCTCTTATCGTTACAGCTACCAGAACAAGGTAGTAGTACCAATAGTCTCCGTTTTTCGCCAGCACCAACCATGCACGATGATCATCACCATGCGACAGGTGCGTCTGCGTCGCCACCGTCGCCCAGGTCGCCCGCCATGGACGGTTGCGCCGGCGGCGCAGCAGCCGCCGCTGCAGGGGGGAGCCGCGGATCCGCGGTAACCTCGGGGTTCCGCAAGTCGTTTCAGCGATTCTACCGCGCCATGCTTGGCGGCAGCAGCGCCGGCGGCGGCGGCTCCTCCTCCTCCGCCTCGTCGTCTTCCTCCCACAAGAAGCTGTCGCCTCAGTCGTCGTCGTCGCACGCGTCGTCGCAGTCGTCGTCCTCCCACTCCTCACCGCACCAACAAGCACGCATGCAGCAGATGCAGGCACAGCAACAGCAGGGCCAGCAGCAACAGCAGCACCAGCAGCAGTCTCCCGGATTCTTCAGCGGCCCTCACCAGAGCCGAATGTCCAGTGGACCTGTCAGCAGACCAACCCCAGGAGCATCATCAGCATCAGCATCAGCATATCTGGATCCTGTGTCAGTCCCTCTCCCGTCCCTCTCTCCCACACCAGTTCAGCACTCTTCTCAGTCTGTCCGGTCACCCCTCCCCACCGCTGGTTCCTCTGCATCTTTCCGGGATTCCCAAGGCAGTTTTGGAACAAATTCCCAAGGCCGCACAGACCACCAAGGCGGACCCACAAACTCCTCCCAGGGCTTGAGCGACTCTAGAATTCTTGGGAGTTTCCGGGATTCGAAAGGTCTCGAGTTCAATTCCGCCCTGGTCACATCTTTCCAGGAGGAGAGGGTGTCTGAAGTTTCGTCCTTTGCAGGCCGAACCAGAGGAGGTTCGGCCACGTCTCCGAGGATGCTGGTTCGGCGGAGCACGTTGCCGCTGACGTCAGCGCAGTCAAACCAAGCGGCTCGGGAGCAGCAGCAGATGGTTCTTTCCCAGGGCCTCGCTGCTGCTGTTTCGTCTGCATGTGGTAACCCTGTAACTGGCAGTGGTTCTGTACTCCTCCGGCCTTCACCGCCCAGAAGCACGGCTGTAGCTGCAGCTGCGGCTGTAGCAGCGGCAGCTGTGACTATACCCAACGGTGCTTCTCCCCCAGGAGCACCCTCCTCCGTTATAAGCCACGGAGGGCACAGGCACAGCCGGTCTAGAAGCGCGGCAGAGGGAGAAGGGCTGAGCCAGCCTGGTGGAGGAAGTGGAGGGGAGGGGCGGGGAGAAGCAGGGATTAGCGAGGAGGGAGATGATGATGAGGATGATGAGGAGGAGGAGGAGAGGGAGAGAAGCGGAGTGTTTTTCCGGGGCCGGGCGGCGACTATATCCACGCTGCTGCCGCCCAGTGTGACTATAGAGGAAGGCACGTTCCGCACAGCAGAGAGATCTCCGATCAGGCGATACCAGCACCAATATTTCCAACAGCAGCAGCAGCAGCAGCACCAGCGGCAGGCGTCAATGGGGCAAACCATACCTGGGTGGAGACGAGGCAGCTCACAGAGCGTGGTGCTTGTCGGCGAGCGAGAGGGGATGCTTGGCCGGCAGCAGCAGCAGCAGCTACAGCCGCAGCTACAGCAGCAGGCAGGCGGCAGCAGCCTCGCTGGTTCCCCCCACTCCGCCAGTCAAACCGCGTCCGGACAAGTCAATGCCGGTCAACGGGGCGGCGGTATGGGCAGCGTTGGTGCAGCCGGCATGGGCGGCATGGGCGGCAGGCCGCAGGGGCGGCGGCGGTCGCTGGTGTCGCACTCGGGCGGCTTGACAGCTGGCCTGTCTCCTGGCCTAGCCGCTCGTTCTGGCCTCACTGGGAGCTCTTTTGCCAGTGGTGCCTTTGCTGGTGGTGGCACTGCTATTGTAAGTGGCAGCATCAACACCCACGCGGGCAGCAGCAGCAGCTTTATCCGCGGCAGGAGCCGCACCATCTCCACCGCTACAGTCACAGCTGTATCAGGGGCAGGCGGAGGGAGGCTGGGCGGAGCTGGAGGAGTAGGAGGAGGAGCAGGAGTGGGAGTGCTAGGAGGGGGAGCAGGAGGAGGAGGGGGGACGCTGTCGGCGCTGCCCCCGGCGCTGTCTCCACGTGCGTTGGCTCAGCTGGACCGCAGCTTTGGCAGTGATGAGTCCATGTCGTCCAGTGGTGAAGTGGTCAACGTGCTGCATGATGCTTCAGGCAGTGGTGCTGGCGGCATGAAGGTGAGTGCGGCGCTGCTGCTTGTGCCCTGCTCCTGCTCCTGCTCCTGCTCCTGCTCCTGCTCCTGCTCCTGCTCCTGCTCCTGCTCCTGCTCCTGCTCCTGCTCCTGCTCCTGCTCCTTCTCCTTCTCCTGCTCCTGCTCCTGATCCTGCTCCTTCTCCTTCTCCTTCTCCTTCTCCTCCTGCTCCTGCTCTTGCTCCTGCTCCTGCTCCTTCTCCTTCTCCTTCTCCTGCTCCTGCACCTGCTACTGCTCCTGCTCCTGCTGCTCCTGCTGCTCCTGCTGCTCCTCCTGCTCCTCCTTCTGCTAGTGCTGTTCCTTCTCCTCTTACTCTTCTTCCTCCTCCTCCTCCTCCTCCTCCTCCTCCTCCTCCTCCTCCTCCTCCTCCTCCTCCTCCTCCTCCTCCTCCTCCTCCTGCTGCTGCTGCTGCTGCTGCTGCTGCTGCTGCTGCTGCTGCTGCTGCTGCTGCTGCTGCTGCTGCTGCTGCTGCTGCTGCTGCTGCTGCTGCTGCTGCTGCTGCTGTGCTGCTGCTGCTGCTCCTCCTGCTCCTGCTCCTGCTCCTGCTCCCGCTCCCGCTCCTCCTGCTCCTGCTCCTGCTCCTACCCCTGCTCCTGCTCCTGCTCCTGCTCCTGCTCCTGCTCCTGCTCCTGCTCCTGCTCCTGCTCCTGCTCCTGCCCCTGCTCCTGCTCCTGCTCCTGCTCCCGCTCCCGCTCCTCCTGCTCCTGCTCCTGCTCCTCCCCCTGCTCCTTCTCCTTCTCCTGCTCCTGCTCCTGATCCTGCTCCTTCTCCTTCTCCTTCTCCTTCTCCTTCTCCTGCTCCTGCTCCTGCTCCTGCTCCTGCTCCTGCTGCTCCTGCTGCTCCTGCTGCTCCTGCTGCTCCTCCTGCTCCTCCTTCTGCTAGTGCTGTTCCTTCTCCTCTTACTCTTCTTCCTCCTCCTCCTCCTCCTCCTCCTCCTCCTCCTCCTCCTCCTCCTCCTCCTCCTCCTCCTCCTCCTCCTCCTCCTCCTCCTCCTCCTGCTGCTGCTGCTGCTGCTGCTGCTGCTGCTGCTGCTGCTGCTGCTGCTGCTGCTGCTGCTGCTGCTGCTGCTGCTGCTGCTGCTGCTGCTGCTGTGCTGCTGCTGCTGCTCCTCCTGCTCCTGCTCCTGCTCCTGCTCCCGCTCCCGCTCCTCCTGCTCCTGCTCCTGCTCCTACCCCTGCTCCTGCTCCTGCTCCTGCTCATGCTCCTGCCCCTGCTCCTGCTCCTGCTCCTGCTCCCGCTCCCGCTCCTCCTGCTCCTGCTCCTGCTCCTCCCCCTGCTCCTGCTCCTGCTCCTGCTCCTGCTCCTGCTCCTGCTCCTGCTCCTGCTCCTGCTCCTGCTCCTTCTCCTGCTCCTGCTCCCGCTCCCGCTCCCGCTCCTCCTGCGCCTGCTCCTGCTCCTGCTCCTGCTCCTGCTCCTGCTCCTGCTCCTGCTCCTGCTCCTTCTCCTGCTCCTGCTCCCGCTCCCGCTCCCGCTCCTCCTCCTCCTGCTCCTGCTCCTGCGCCTGCTCCTCCTGCTCTTACTCCTGCTCCTGCTCCTGCTCCTGCTCCTTCTCCTGCTCCCGCTCCCGCTCCCGCTCCTCCTGCTCCTGCTCCTGCTCCTGCTCCTGCTCCTGCTCCTGCTCCTGCTCCTTCTCCTGCTCCTTCTCCTGCTCCCGCTCCCGCTCCCGCTCCTCCTGCTCCTGCTTCTGCTCCTGCTCACGCTCCTTCACATCAAAGTGCGGACACACCTTCCACTTCCACTGCATCACCTCACCCCTATCCCTCTCCCACCCGCCCCTTGTCTCACTCAGGGCGTCTGTGCCATTTGCCTAGAGCGTCAACGTGCAGGGAGAGGTCACGCGCTCTTCACAGCGGAGTGCGGGCACACCTTCCACTTCCACTGCATCACGGCCAACGTGCGCCACGGCCACTCCGCCTGCCCACTCTGCCGCAAGCGCTGGCACGAGGTCCCCTGGATGGGCCCTCCCCTAGCCGCTCCTCCCCCTGCTGCCCCTGCTCCTGCCCCAGCTACTGCTGCTGCTGCCCTTGCTGCTTCCCCTGCGTCTGCGGCTGCTGGTGCTGGTGGTGTTGCTCCTGGTGCTGGTGGTGTTGCTCCTGGTGCTGGTATGATCTCTGCCTTCTCCTCTTCAGGTTCCTCCTCTACCACTACCATTACTCCTGGCATCACCACACTCAACTCCCCCTCCTCCTCCTCGTCCTCCTCCCGCCACTCTCGCACCCGCTCCTCCTCTCCCCCAGACATGCTACTCGCACACTCCCCACGCGGCTCACCCAGTAACCTCCCCTTCCCAGAGCACCGGATTTCTGCTGTCCCACCTGCTGCTGCTGCTGCGGCTGCTACAGGTGGCACCACTCCTGCAGGAGCAGTTGTGCCTGTCCAGATGTACCTCCCCCCTGTGGCGAATCCGTACATAGAGGACGGACCCGAGAGCCCAGACACCAGCGGCACGTATGATTCCGGGGAGATTCGGGCGGCAGCTGCTGCCGCCCAGTCGAAAGCCTGGGCGGCACTGAGGAGGAGCAGGGGCGGGGGAGGAGGGGGAGCGGGAGGGGGCGGGGGAGGAGGGGGAGCTGTGCCAACAAGTGCTGGTGCTGCTTCCTCACCTGCTCCTGCAGAGATCATACCCGCTGCACCCGCACTGGCAGCAGTAGCATCCTCATCATCAGCAGCACCTGTGTTTGCACCACCCACACCGGCAGCAGCAGCACCAACATCATCAGCAGCACCTGTGTTTGCACCACCACCCACAGGCATAGCTTTACAGCTGCCAGGCACAGTGGGAGCAGCGCCTATTCGAGTCCATCCAGTGGCGCGATCAACAGGAGGAGCAGGGGCATCAGCAGCGGCACTGTTGCCATGGCTCCCTGCCACGTCGTGCGAGGACCCTGACAGCACGACGTCGCTGCAGGAGTGGATGGGAGGGCGGCAGGGAGCGGCGGCATCAGACGTGGCAGCAGCATTAGGCGCAGCAGATGCCCCCCCAAGAGCCACATACGGTGAGCTGATTGCGGGAAGCAGCAGTCTCTCACTGCAAGCACCGCAACTACCACAGGTGCAGCAGCAGCAGCAGCAGAGTCTACTGAGGCAGGCGTCTATAGTGGCGCATGAACTGACACTAGGTCGCTCCAGAGCTGCCTCTGCCTTCCCCCGCTCCAAAAGCACCAGCGGCACTGCTGCTGCTGATTCTGCTGCTGCTGCTGCTGCTGGTAATTCTGCTGCTGGTTCCCTTACATCTGGTGCTAATGCGGCCAATGTTAGCAGCAGAATCAGCAGCAGCAGTGGTGGCGGCAGCAGCAGCGGCGGGCTTAGAACGGCTTCCAGCCTTCCCACGCCCCCTGCTTCCAGTCACGCGGTGCCTTTACCAAGTGTGGCAGGGGAGGAGGCTGGGGAGGCAAGGGGAGGCAAGGCCGGCCCAGCCTATGCTCCTCTGACACGTGGCAGCCTGCAGCCTCTCGCTGCCATCCATCCAGTGCGGCAGCAGATGCTGCTGCCAGGTCAGCAGGCACAGGGACCGACCCAGGGGCAAGGTCAGGCACAGGGACAGGGACAGATGCAAGCACAGGCACAGGGACAGGCACAAGGGCAAGTAGGGGCGGATGATTCGCCTCGAGTGTACAACGATGATCAGAGCCTCAATAGCCCCCCGGCTGCTGCCCCTGGCACCTCTGCTCTTGGTGCCACCTCTTCTCCTGCTGCTGCTGGCGATGCCGCCCCTGTTCCTATCGGAGCTGCTACTACCACAGATGGCGCCGTTTCTCCCACTGCTGGTTTGGTCGCTAGTGCCCCACGTGCTCTCTCACGCCTCTCTGCTGTTGGGTCGGCGGCAGTTGAGTCTGCGGTTTCGGAACCAAGTCCAGAGCTGCTCACTCCAACCTCTGCCCTTGCTGATGCGTCTGCTGCTTCTTCTTCTTCTTCTTCTTCTGCTGCTGCTCCTCCTGCTCCTCCTCCTGCTGCTACATATTATGAAACGACAGCTACTGCTACAGCCGGGACTGACTGGCCTGAGAGCAGCCGTGCTACAGCCGCTCCAGGTGCATCAGGTGGAAGAGAGCTTCCTATCCTTGCAACGGAGACACCACGTCCTACTGCTACGGCCTTTTCAAGTGGCGCTGCTGCGCCAGAGCCAGCAGATAGTGAGGTACCAGCGGCAGGGGAAGAGACTGGAGCAGAGGCAGCCGTTCAACCCAAGAAGAGCACTGAGGAAGAGGAGTATGCACGAGCAAATAATGCTGCTGCTGCTGCTGCTGCTGCAGCAGCTTCTGATGCAGGTGCTAATACGGCTTATGGGGGCAGTGCTGCTGTGCAAGAGGCTGTGGCTTCTGATGCTACCACTGAACGCACTGCTATCACCACTGCTATCACCACTGCCGTTCCAGTCGCCGTTGCTCCTGATGCCTCACCTCCAGCCATCACCCCTCCAGCAATAACCGATCCCCAACCTCTTGCTGCTCCCTCTCAGCCTTCCCAGCCTTCCTCCTCCTCCTCCTCACCCTCATCCTCCACCCCTTCCGCCCCCTCCGTCCAGCCCCACCAGAAGACGCCTGCCTCAGAAAACGCCTCGTTCCCTGTCCAGCTGTCCGTGTGCGCGGAGCGCACGCCTCCCCCTTTCATGGAAGTTTCCGAGTGTTACACCGTGCTGCTCACTCTTAAAGCCCCTCCGCTCGACCCTCCTGCTGCTGACTCCACCACTCCTGCCTCTCCTCCAACCGAACACCACCAGGGCTCACCGCTCCCCACCCCTGCCACCACCGATGGAACCACTTCCACTATCACTACTACCACTCCTGCCGCCCACTCATCAAGAGTACCCATCGATTTAGTCACACTTTTGGACCTTAGCGGGAGCATGCACGGGCCGAAGCTTCAGCTGCTGCAGCAGGCCATGCTCTTCCTCATCTCCCAGCTCGGCCCCCACGATCGGCTCTCTATAATCACATTCTCCTCACAAGCACACCGCGTGACGCCCCTCAGGAGGATGACGGAGGAGGGGCGGCAGGAGGCGGAGGGGAAGGTGCGGGGGATGGTGGCGGGGGGAGGGACGAATATCGCCCAGGGGATGTTGAAGGCGTTGAGAGTGGTGGAGGAGAGGAGGGAGCGGAACCCGGTGGCGAGTATCATGCTGCTGTCCGATGGGCAAGATACCGCCACGTGCAGCCAGAAGGGGTTCGGATACAGGTGAGACTGGGCTGCTGTGGATTCAGGTGAGGAAAGTTTAGATGCAAGCGAGTCTGGGTTAGGGTGTGCAGGCACAGGCAGAAGTGTTGTATGTTCTTCCTCTCACGTTTGCAACTCTTTGCCTTATTCTCCCCCCCCGTTACTCCCTTCTTCATCCCATCCCTCCCCTCATGCCCCTCACTCCCCCCCCCTCTCCGCCAGCTCTCTCAACCACCCCAAGTAAACCTACAGCCGCCTGCTCCCCAGCCAGATGACCCGCAACAAATCCTCCTCCTCTCAGGATTCTGCTTCTTCCTCCTCTTCCTCCTCCCGGCGTCTAGTCCCCGTGCACACCTTTGGCTTTGGTGCCGACCACGACGCTGCCGCCCTGCACGCCATTGCCTTCACTCCCCTCATTTCAATATTCCTCATTCTCCTTTCCCATTTCTACTTGTCACCACCTCCCCTCTCTCTTTCCCCTTCCTTGCAGCTCTCTCAACCACCCCAAGCAAACCCACAGCCGCCTACTCCCCAGCCAGATGACACGCAACAAGTCCTCCTCCTCTCAAGATTCCTCCTCCTCCCGGCGTCTAGTCCCCGTGCACACCTTTGGCTTTGGTGCCGACCACGACGCTGCCGCCCTGCACGCCATAGCCGCCGACACAGCTGGCGTCTTCTCATTCGTCGAGGAGCCGGCCGGCGTGACCGCCGCCTTTGCGCAGTGCCTGGGCGGCCTGCTGTCTGTCGTTATCCAAGAGGCCAAGATCTCGTTCGCGGTGGGATCGGATCTCCCCGGGTGGCAGATTGCGGCAGTACATGCGGGGGGGTATGCATATAGAGTGGGGGAGAAGGAGAGGGATGGAGCGGTGCTGCTGGGGGATCTGTATGCAGAGGAGGAGCGGCACGTGATGCTGGAGGTGTGGCGGAGACGACACTTGGAGGTACGTGATTGGCGGAGGGATGCTGGAATTCATTGGTCGTGCTGTTTTCCCTGTGCCATTGCTTGTCGCATTCTGCGTGCGCGGTGCAGCTATAGATGCCGCCTGTTGTTAGGTTCGCCCCATTTGATTTTCCCCTCTTCCCTTTCCTCTCCTATCTCTCACAGGACAAATCCCGAGCCAGGGACACGTCAGCAGGAGCAGCACAGCGCGACATGTGTCGCATTCTGAGAGCACGGTGCAGCTACAGATGCCGCCCGCTGTTCCAGGAAACCCACCGCACACCACTGGTAGAGCTGGCCGTAGCACGAGCGGAGGAGGAGGAGGAGGAGGAGGAGGATGAGGAGGAGGGAGAGGAGGTGGAGGAAGGGTGGGAGGAAGAAGGGCGCATGTGGGAGGAGGGTGCAGAGGGGGAGTGGTATGATGAACAGCATGGGCAGGAGGAAGGGGAGTATGGGGCGCACAGCAGCGGGCATGATAGCTTTGCGGCGGCGCTCGCAGCAGCAGGCGGGTGGGACAGTGGCGCGCAGGGAAGCAGCAGGCAGGCCAGTGGCAGGCAAGAAGGGGCGTCCCATGGTGTGTCGCCGCCAGTGTCAGGAGCTATGGAGTCTGGACGGCAGGGGGGAGAAGGGAGGAGGAGAAATGCCGAGGTGGCGAGGGTGAGGAGGAAGAAGGCTCCTCCGCCCTTGGCTCTGGAGAGGCAGAAGAACCGAATTGCCGCCACCAAATGCATCACTGCAGTATGATCTCACTCACTCCCTCACTTGCTTTCTCACTCATGCAGTCATTCTCTCTCACTCACTCTCTCACTTGCTCTCTCACTCATGCAGTCATTCTCTCTCACTCACTCTCTCACTCGTGCACTCATGCTCTCAGTCACTCTCTCGCTCTCTCACTCGTGCACTCACTGACTATGTCACTTGCTCTCTCTGTCGTGCACTCACTCACTCACTCTTCTTTCCTTCACCCCATTTCTGCTGTCCGGACCCGACTCGCATCCCTGCGTCTCTCTTTACTCCAGGCGTTGCAGCAGGCAGAGGCGGGCAGCCTGGCAGCAGCACAGCGCACCATACAGCAAGGCGTGGCAGCCATCCAATCGTCTTATGCCATGCAGGTATGTTGTCCAAGAAACATTTTTTTTTACCCCCCCACCCAACCCTCCCCCTGCCCCTCCCCCTCCCCCTTCCTCCCCACACACATCCCCCCTATTTTTCCTCGTTTTCTTTCTTTTGCCAATGTAAATCCTTCCATCCTCCTCGTCTGCAGCTTACACAACCCTTTCCCACTGTCATGCCTCTCTCGCTTGCCTGTCCCGCTGTCTTGCCTCTCCCTGCCTCGTTCCTCTCTTCTATTCCATGCAATTTCGTGCGCAGCAAGGGGATGAGGCATCAATGCATTTGATTGACGAGCTGATGGAGATCGAGAGACGCATGTGCAACATGCAGGTGAATGGGAGTGTCGGTTACATGTCATATGTGCTGCAGCACTTTCTCTGAGTTTGTAAGAATGTTTTCTGTTTCAACATGATCATTTTTTTTTTCCGCACTCTCAGTGCAGTCATGTCATCTGGTGCTGCCCCGTCTCACAGCATGCCTCCATTCACTCCCTCACATCTTCCTCCTCTTCTCCTCTTTCTCCCACTTCCTATTCTTGCTCTTCTCCTCTTTCTCCTATTCCTGCTCTTCTCCTCTTTCTCCCACTTCCTATTCCTGCTCTTCTCCTCTTTCTCCCACTTCCTATTCCTGCTCTTCTCTTTCTCCCACTTCCTATTCCTGCTCTTCTCCTCTTTCTCCCACTTCCTATTCCTCCTCTTCTCCTCTTTCTCCCACTTCCTATTCCTCCTCTTCTCCTCTTTCTCCCACTTCCTATTCCTGCTCTTCTCCTCTTTCTCCCACTTCCTATTCCTGCTCTTCTCCTCTTCCTCCCACTTCCTATTCCTTCTCTTATCCTCTTTCTCCCACTTCCTATTCCTGCTCTTCTCCTCTTTCTCCCACTTCCTATTCCCACTTCCTATTCCCCCTCTCCCAGGTTTGGCGTATGCACTTTCAGTGCAGTCAGCCCATCTGCTGCCGCCCCGTCTCACACTCTCACGTCTCCTCACCAACTCTTCTCCCATCTCTTCCCCTCCCTTTCCACAGACGTACAAGGGAGCAGGTCTGGCGTATGCTCTCTCTGCGCAGTCAGCTCATCTGCTGCAGCGAGCAAACACGAGGGGGGGAGGGGCCGCAGCAGACAGCACAGCTGGCCTCGACTACATGGTAACACACCCATCATTATTCTGCTGTGACTTGGTTAATGTGCCCGACTCTTCTTTGCCTAGCGAACCAACAAACCAACACTCCAACTTCCCCTCCCTAATGCCCTCGTATTGTTCTTACCATAAATATATGTTTTTTTTTTTTGTGCATTTTCCAGGTGATGTTCCAACCCCCTGCTCCTCTGTTTTGTTCTCCATATTCCTTTACGCTGTTTCCCTTGCCCTTTCTACCCCTTCCCGTTTCTGCGTTTCTCACCATCAGACGCCTTCAATGGTCAACATGCTGCACAAGTCACGAGCACACAGCGCTGCCTTGACACTGTTTCCCTTCCCCCTTTTGTTTACCCGTTCCATTCTCTGTTATTTTTTCTCTTTCCCACACCATCAGACGCCTTCAATGGTCAACATGCTGCACAAGTCACGAGCACACAGCGCTGCCTTCACAACATCCCCCTCCTCCTCCTACCCATCCTCCTCGTCTCGCCACACTCATCCTAACCGCCCCACACTCCCTCAAACACACCCTTCACCACACGCCTCACCTCATCTGGAGGACACGAGCAACAGCAGCAGTGGGTCGCTGGTGCTGCCAGCGCCTCACTCAGGTCCATTCATGGACGGCAGGGAGTGTGAAACACCCACGTTTCGAGGCAGAGGGGTGCCAAAAAACGGTAGAGGAGGAGGGGAAGCAGCTGCTGGCGTTGCTGCAGCTGCTGCTGCTGCCGCCTCCTCCATATCACCCTCTCAGCCGTTTTTTGACAGCAGACAAGGGACGAACGGGGCAAATGGGATGCTCGCTGCTACAGCTGCAGCCCTCCCTCAACCACCCCTGGACGGTTTGAATGGAGCAAGCTACAGCAACATCTGCTCCTCTCAGCGTGGTATTGATGTCTCCTTTGGCAACTCCTGTGAGCAGCAGCAGCAGCAGCAGCAGCAGCAGCAGCAGCAGCAGCAGCAGCAGCAGCAGCAGCAGCAGCAGGGCGAGACAGAGGAGCTCTTATTTGGCTCGGCTTCCTTTCAATCCAGACCGCCAACGGAGGCAGCGTGCCAGACACGCCGACAACAGCAGCAGAAGCAACAGCAGCAGCAGCAGCAGCAGGGAGGAGTGGGGCTGAGAAGGCAGAGGTCTGGCGTGCAGCGCAGCAGCAAGCCGGCTCCCCTGGTGGTGCGCAGTGGGATGGGTCTCGCTGCTGCTATGGCCGCCGCTGCTGCAGCTGCAGGGGATGGCCGGCTGGACTCCTCTGCTTCACTCTCTGCTGTGGCTCATGCGCTCTCGTCCTCACCTCGTCCCGTGGAAGCATGAACCTCCTTGCCTGGTGTCTAAACTCTACTCCTAATCTTCGCCCTATCCTTGCCTCATCCTCGCCTCGTCCTGTGGAGGCATGAAATATGAAAGTGCTTGCCTGGTGTCTACATCTTATCCTAGCCTCGCTCCTCGCCTCATGCCCGTCTCGTATCTCGTCTCGTCCTCGCCTCGTCCGTGCATGGTGTGTGCCATGGTGGAGAAATGTATGGTAGGGCGTGTAGATGTAGGATCGACACTGCTGCATGGAGAATCAATAAGTAGCAATTGGGAGTGCATTCATGTGTTGTTCCTGAACTGTGTGTGTGCCTTTCATATGGCATGTGCTTGTTATGTATGCTTGTGATAGTATTGCAATCGCCCCGATATACCATATGCCCCCGGATATAAGTGCAGGCCTATGTTAAGCGGATGCGCTTATAGCTGGAGCAGTGCTGGCTGATCCTCAATTATAAGAGCACCCACTGTAAAACCCTGATTTATTATAAGCGCATGTATAAATGTATTTAAAATCATGAATAAATCGGCAGCGGCGGCACCTGGTAGCAGCGGCGCACGGGGCAGGGATGGCTCGCGGGCAGCGGCGGCTTGCGAGTAGTGACGGCGCCAGGCAGCAGCGGCGCCAGGCAGCAGCGGCGCGCGTGGCAGCTCAAAGGGCGCGTGCGAGGCAGCGCCTGTTAGAATACTAACGCAGGAATGATGAGATTAGGCAGCATGAGAAGTACAAGTAGGGAAACCCAAAAAGGGTTGTACTCTATGTAAGCTACCCCAATACAGCCTACAAAGATAGAAATACGGTTTGACACACCTTCATAGGCAAACTGGGGGATAGTAAGAACAACCAACAGTCACAAGACCAGTCAAGCAAGAGAACAAAGCAAAACAAAGCTCAGGGTAGATCTCAAGATCACCACGCAGTCACACAAGCAATCGGCCACAAGGCCAGTTCACATGCAGAGTTATAAAAGCACAAGCAGTAGAGTGATCACAACCTAGCAAGATCAAGCATGCAGTTATATATAGATAGATCACAACACAAGACAAGTCAAGTGTTGGGCTGGGAAGAAGCCCTTAGGATCTTTGCAAGGCTAAACTCTGGGTAGGACTTGTTGTAGATGCGGAAGCGTATAATGATAAGTCTTGAACCACCTTGCGCTGGCATGTGAGGGCAAAGTAGATTGATTAATCAAAGAGATACAAGGCTTTTATAAGAGTACAAGGAATATGAAAAGATGCAACTACCGTCAGCCCCCGGATAGAAGCGCCCCTGGGGGTATAAAAAAACACTGTTTTTTAGGGGGTGCGCTTATATTTGAGGATTTTTATAAGCGCCGGGGCTTATATAATGACATATATGAAATCTAGTTTTTTTTACGCTAAAGTGTTCATCTCGTCCTTGCGATTTGAATCGAATCGATATTGTAGAGGGCATTGGGGCAAAACGATATTGTAGAGGGCATTGAAATTTCGCGTGAATTGGCAGTGGCTGATTCCCTGCCAACACACACAGTCAGAATGAGTCAGATTGACTCCCTGCCAACACACACAGTCAGAATGAGTCAGATTGACCCCATGACAGCTTATTCTGACTAGACGCGAAGGCATTGAGTCGCGCGAGGGGCAAGGGTTTCGAAATTCTGAATGTGGGGATGCAATATTGTGTTTCGTTTCAGCGTTTTCAGTAAAAATATAAAAAATATTACAGAGGGTGGCGCTTATAATCCGTAAGCCTTCAGGGGTGCGCTTATAATCGAGGACCGGATATAAGCGCCCTCATCCTTTTATAAGCGCCGGCGCTTATCCGAGGCCTGCGCTTCTATCCGGGGGCTTACGGTAAATCCCGGTTTTTCTGTTGCTGTTGCGGTTCGATACAGTGACGACTCGGGCAACTGCTCAATAGCAAGTCAGTTGTGTCAGAATATGTTGTTTGTGTAGCCTGCAGTGGGGTACTCACTAGTGAGTACAGCCCCTTAGGGTTTGCTATTTGCATCCTGCTGCATGCTAGTCCAATCATCCCTTCCTCATTTCTGTTCGTGCACACAACTCTCGCTCGTACTTGGCGCCTCGTTCTAGTCTTCCTGTGGCCTAGGCTACTAAGCCTAGGCCCGACTACTTAGTATATTTATCATGGTATCAGAGGGCGGCATGTCTGCCGCCTTCCTGTGTATGGGCCCAACACCTGCTTCCGCTGCCGCACTGTCCGCCGCGCGCCCCGTGGTGCGCGGCGCCGAAATTAGGGTTTCTGCCCGCCGCGCGCTCGGGGCGCGTGGCGGTTTACCCTTCCGTGGCGCCCGTCGTGGTGCCCTTGGGGGGCATGCGCGGTCCCCTCCCGTCGCCCCTCGAGGCGCTCTCGGGGGCCCGCGCGGCCTCCCCTCCCGTCGCCCGTCGTGGCGACCACGGGGGCCCACGCGCGGTCCCCTTCCGTCGCCCGTCGAGGCGCTCTCGGGGACCCGCGCGGCCTCCCCTCCCGTCGCCCGTCGTGGCGACCACGGGGGCCAGCGCGCGGTCCCCTCCCGTCGCCCGTCGAGGCGCTCTCGGGGGCCTGCGTGGCTTCCCCTCCCGTCGCCCGTCGAGGCGCTCTCGGGGGCCCGCGCGGCTCCCTTTCTCGTCGCCCGTCGGGGCGCCCTGGGGGCCGCGCTCCTCCCCCCCTCCCTCCCTCCTACCTTTCACCTGCAGCGGCCGCCCCTGGAGCAGCCCGCACCTGCAGCAGCCGCCCCTGGAGCAGCCAGTACGTGCAGCAGCCGCCCCAGGATCCGCGCGAGCCACCCCTGCAGCAGCCCGCGGCCCGTCCCTGCAGCCCGTCCCATCCCCCCCGTGCTGCCCATTGCTCCCATTCCGCCGTGCGTTCCACGGTGGTGGGGGTGTGGGGTGGCGAGCATGGGGGTGCGAGGTGTGGGTACTCCCCTTCCCTTTCCCCTCCTCCTTTTTCGTCTCCCACTGCTGCAGCTGCTGCTGGGGGGGGTGGAGGTGTGGGAGCCGAGGGGAGTGGCCCTGGGGGGTGACGTGGCAGTGGAGCTAGGGGTTCAGCAGGGGGTGTGTGATAGGGGCGTGGGGCAGTTGGCGGAGGTTGAGCGGAGGTCGCATTCGTGTCGCCAGCAGCACTAGTAGTCCGGAGGCTACAATCTCCGGTAGTCGCCAGTTGCCTGTGGGTCAGTTGCTCCAGTCAGGAGGCTACAATCTCCGCGGAGCCAGTTACTCCTGTAGTCCGGGCCATTGCTTCGGTAGCCACTGAGCCAGCAGCTCCTGTGTGTCTGCAGCTTCCGCTGTCGCCTCCCATCTCCTCTCCTCTCACAGTCCCTCCTCCTCCTCAGATGCCCTCTGTGACTACCCCTAGCTTTACTTTGGCTTGTGAACTATTTTATGACTTCATGCTGTACTGATTATACCCCACTTTGCCTATGGGGGTGTGTCAGAATATGTTGTTTGTGTAGCCTGCAGTGGGGTACTCAATAGTGAGTACAGCCCCTTAGGGTTTGCTATTTGTATCCTGCTGCTTGCTAGTCCAATCATCCCTTCCTCATTTCTGTTCGTGCACACAACTCTCGCTCGTACTTGGCGCCTCGTTCTAGTCTTCCTGTGGCCTAGGCTACTAAGCCTAGGCCCGACTACTTAGTATATTTAACAAGTTGTTTGTCCTTGCTGTCGCGCTGTACTTGTCAGGTGAAAGGTCGCTGACCTTTGACTTTCGCGTAACCTCCAGCGGTTTCTTCACTTCTCAACTTCCAAGTGTTGACTCGTCGATGCTTCGCTGTGCTTCGCCTCGTTTACGACTTAGTGTTTCGACACACAACAGGAGCGTTCAAATTACTTGTTTCCAACACTCCCCTTCGCTTCTGGAGTGTCGCTGCTAGTGACGTGGCTCTGTCCAGTCAGCAGCATGCAGTATTCGAACTTCTGCTTTCCGAGCTTCTTGGTCAAGTAATCAGCTGCCATCTCAGACGTGGGGCAGTAAGACAGCTCGAGTCTCCCCTTCTCGATCTCGTCCTTCACGAAGAAATATCGCAGAGCAATATGCTTCGTTCTGTTCGCAAATCCATTCTTGTTGGCTATGCGGATTACAGACTGGTTGTCGCAAAATAGAGAGAAGCTGGGTAACTGGGCCAGCTTCGCTTCTTCCAGCAGTTCGCGAAGGTAAATTCCTTTCTTGGTGGCTGAGCAGAATGCAATATATTCTGCATCATCTGAGGAGAGAGCAATTAGCTCCTGCTTGCGCGATTGCCATGAGATGAGCCCGATAGGGTCGAGTCGGTAGATATAGCCGGTGCGCGAGCGCCTGTTGTCAGAGTCACCGGCGTGATCAGCGTCGACGTAGCCGATTAGTTTAGGCGCCGTAGTTCCGGTCTTGTAGTAAGTTAGTCCGATCGTCGGGGTGCTGACGAGGTAGTGTAGTGCGCGGTCGAGCTCCAGGTTTCTTGAGGTAGGTAGCGAGTTGGCTTGCGGAGTACGAGAGATCCGGTCGGCAGGTGACGGCTGCGAAGAGCAGACATCCTAGTTTTCGTTGGTAGTCGTGTATGCCAGCGGGTTTGAGTAGAGCGGAACCTTCCTTGTGATTTCCGACGGTGAAGAGATATGGCGTGGAGATGGCGGTCGGGGTGAGTCCGAAGCGTTTGGCGATGGTGTCGGCGTATTTCGCGGCACTGAGGTAGATTGCGTTTTCTTCCTCCCGAATATTGAGCCCGAGGTATTGCGTTACGGTAGATGAAACCGTGAGCGTGAGGTCCTGCTGCAGTTCCCCTTTGAACCAGGTCGTAATGTCGTCAGTCGAGCCAATGTAGAGGAGATCGTCCACGTAGACGATAAGCAAGATGTAGTTGGTGCCCTTTGTGAACCGGTACATGCCTTGGTCGTGTGGTAGCTGGAGGAATCCGATGCGGATGAGTCGAGCGTGTAGATACTGCTGCCACAGTCTCGGAGCATGCTTAATGCCGTACAGGGACTTTAGCAGCTGACAGACTTGGTTGGGCTCTCCGTTGGAGCCGTGTGGCAATTCGACGAAGATT